AGGGTGCAGGGGAGAGTGAACTGGGATTAGTATGCAAAATAAGATTGCTTTAAAAATAATAAATATTAGAGCAAAATATAAAATAAAATGTTCAATATAATATTAATAATAATACTATAAATGTATTTTATAAATAGTTTTAAAGGAAAAATCCCAGATACAATTTTCATCTATCAGGTTATAGAGAGGCAAAGAATTGTCTGTCTCTTATTGCAAAAAAGCTTAGACTTAGGGAAACTAATAAAGATTTAGTGTCCCTTAAACAAAGAGCTGGGGAAATGAATTTTAATTTTTTGGAGTTTGAAATATTTGTCAATAATTACCAGCATATCTTGGGATGGCACTCAAGCCTAAACAAGAAAATTTATTTAGATTTTATCTATGTTACCACCTACAGATAGCCTAAAGACAATTTTATGGATATTTTAAATAAATTTGTGCATTAAACAGAGTTTTATCATGTAAAAATTTCTACATAGAGTGTTACCTGAGCTCCCATAGTTTCAGATTTTGAAAGATTGGGGATTTTACATTTTTTAGATAAGAGACTGTCATTGTGTATATTTTTAAAATACAGATTAATTTATTTCCTGACAAAGTAGAAAATATGAAAAAGTATAAGTCAAAGTTCAGGAATGAATATAAGATTCAGAAAACAGATAACAAATTTATGACTACACACAATGGGATCAATAAGGGTGAGGATACTGAAGAGGCAGATATTTGGGCCCATGGAAAGAAAGAGATGGAAGGATAAATGAAGTGACTAGACCCATGAATATCCTAAAAGGGAGATAGGAAATACATGGAAAAAGGTAAAACAAACAAAAACAGCTAAAATTGTTGGATGATCAATAATAGGAGTTAGACTCCACCAGCTGGGCAACATGAAAAAGAATATGAAACATGGAGTAATTTAACAAATTTCAAAGTTTATAAGCTCAGGTTAGTTAGGGTGGAGAGTCATGAACCTGGAGAATCGTAAGTCCATAAAGATCTCTGCAATCTTCAGATGGAAATATGGAGAATTTCCAACCCACACAGTCACTGAATGTGGACAGGACACATTTTAGTTACACAATGAAAGCAATGGCCTTCTAACTGTAAAATTGGCAATGTAATCCAGCCCAAAACTCACTCCATGGGCCACACTGTGATAATGTGTCATAAGTCAAGGACAATGGGGAAATGATTATGTCAATTTCTACAATACACATAGAATCTGGACCTGCCTTGAACAAACATAAATTAAACTAATCTATACAGCTAAGGAATATGTGATGCTGCTCACCTGTCTTCAACCTAATATACCTCTGAAGCTTAAGAACAAAAATAATCCAAGCAGTAATTGGAACTTTATTATAGAGCATTCTCAATGCATGCTTTCTACTAGGACATTTGGGTTCTACAAATCCTTATGTGGACAATTTGCTTAGTTAGATAGTTACCTTATATTTTGTGGTTTCTCCAAAGATTTTTTAACTTTTTGAAGTTTGTTAGCCATGGCATGAGCTTCTTTATCAGAATTAGGAGGTCTTTTCTCCTCCTGTTGGACCTCCAGGAATTGGCAAGCAGCCTCAGCACCTCCTTCTACAGAACTTAATCTATATCTGAAAGAAAAGAAATGTGTACTTGAAATATCATTAGATTCAGTCTCTCCATCTTTTATGATTGTGTGTTAAATTTCTGATGTGTATGAGCAAATAGCTGAAAAGAAGCACGAACAGAAAGTAGGGCTGGCTCTAAGACTTGAAGTTTGACCCCCGTGGCTAGTATGGTAGTTTGACTGAGAATGGTCCCCATAGGCTAATGTATTTTAATAGAAAGTCTGTAATTGGTGGAACTGTTTAGGAAGGATTAGAATGTAGAGTATTGGAAGAGGTGTACGACTGGAATCAGGCTTTGGGTTATCAAAAGTCCATGCCATTCCCATTTAGCTATCTCTCCTTGAACATTACCTTCTGATAATGATATACTCTCTCAGCTACTGCTCTAACACCATGCCTACCTGCCTGTTGTCACATCCACCTGCCATAATGGTCATGCACTAACTGTGAGCCCCAGTAAATTCTTTCTTCTACAAGTTGTTTTGGCCATGGTGTCTCTTCGCAGCAAGAGAAAAGTAATTAAGGTAACCCAGGAAGGCTTACAGATCTGGACAAATTTAATATGCATCCTGTTGTTTAATTTGTAGCTCTAATCTTTTTTGTCTTTTTTCTTTCTTTCTTTTTTGGGGGGAGGCATGTTCAAGACAGGGTTTCTCTGTGGCTTTGGAGGCTGTCCTGGAACTAACTCTTGTAGACCAGGCTGGTCTCGAACTCACAGAGATCCTCTGCCTCTGCCTCCCGAGTGCTGGGATTAAAGGCATGTATCACCAATGCCTGACTTACAGCTCTGATCTTAGAAGTATAAATGATGATATCCCAGACCAATTCCATAAATAAGGTGGCATCTCCTAACATTCTACAATTGTCCAAAACAGCACCAGTGGAAACACACACTGATGGAAAGCACTTCACATGCAAACAATAAGAGTGACATGCCTGCTGGAATTTTGAAGCTGACATTTGTGAATTTTACTAGGATGTCTTGGTGCTCTAGATTCACATACACCTAATTAACAACTGAGAAGTGAAAGATAAGTTTTCCCAATACTATATTCCTGTGAAACTGCAGAGTAAGCTCACAGAAACTCTCCACAGGATACACATGCCAAGCCAAAAGCAAAGCAGTGATTTTTGAACAGAAAAAAAAAAAAAAAACAGAGAAACTCACCCCCACCTTCCACAAACTCACCCCACCCCCACCTTCCACAAACCTCCCTAAAAGCTGAGGAAGAGTTTTAGTCAACCAAAAAGAAAATTATTCTTTTGGCAAAGTGGAAAGAGGTATAATTTCTCACTGTTACATGATCACTTCTTCCTAGAAGATAGGAAACCCTGGAGGTCATAGCTTTTGTAATCCAGAAGGTCTCCTGGACATGGCCTTTATACCTTTGAAAATGTAAATGCCTAGGACTATAAAGGTTCAGACATCTTGGGACTCTGGCACCCTGTGTACCTCGTCTGAGTCTTAACCATTTAGACTTCTCAGATCTGATCAATAAGCAGTGCTGGTTGAATTCTCTCTCCAGAAAAATAAAAGCAAACACACCTCTTTTGAATCACATGAATTTCACAATGTTTGGAATGTAGCCTTTCTGATGACAAACAGGCTGAGGGGCTGGGAGTCATTTCATTTCACCACCATGGGTAGCAACAACATGCTGTGTCTGAAGTAGATACTGGGCAACATCACTACATTATATTACAGCAAACAAATTGAAACTGTACAATAAAGTTTAAGCTTAAAGTATAAGACAAAAGATTTTCTTAAAATTAAAACATTCCACATAGAGGGATTCTCTCTCAGCCTAGACACACTGGGGAGGGTCTAGGCCCTGCTCCAAATGATATGACAGACTTTTAGATCTCCCATGGAAGGTTTCATCCTCCCTGGAGAGCAAAAAGGGAATGGGATGAGGGTTGATGAGGGGCAGGGGAGGAGGGGAGGGAGAGGGAACTGGGAATGACATGTAAAAAAGATTGTTTCTATTTTAAATTTAAAAATTAATAAAGAAAAAGGAGAAAACTTTAAAACCCAGTATTTTAAAAATTGTGAAGTTGGACCTATTGCCACATACCTGTCCACAATCCTAGCTAGTAGGAAAGCTGAGATGGCTGAAGCAGAAGAATCACAAGTTGAAGAGTTAGCCTAATATACAGAATGGGTTCAAAACCAGCCTGGGTAACTTGGTGAGATCTTATCAGAAAAGCAAAAGGGAAGAATGTCTGAGGGTATTGCTCAGTGTCAGAATGGTTTTCTAGTGTGTGAGGCCCCCTGGGATCTATTCCCAGTCAGTGTCACAAAACTAATTTGAAAAAGAATCCTCAGGGATGTAGGGAGCTACCCTAGTGAAGTAAGGATTAAAAAATGGCAGTCAATTCTCATCAGGTAAGCAAATAATAATAATAATAATAATAATAATAATAATAATAATAATAATAATAATAATAATAATAATAATAATAACACAAACATTCTATAGTTACTGTTGTCAGGTGCAATTCAAAGGGGCTAGAATTTAATAATTCATTGAACAATATTATTTCAATGCTATCATTCCCATACCACAAGTGAGAAAATAGAGATACAAAGAGATTAAGGGGACTACCCATGAATACACACAGCTTGTATGTGATAGAGTGCCTCTAATCCATGTTTCTGACTGTGTTGTTGTGGTATTGTTTTATACCATGCAAATTCCAGTCATTTCCATCATAGTATCTCTTTTCAAAAAACTGTATCACTTGAAAATAACTATACTCCTAAGTCTCTCTAATACAGAATTACATACAATAAAAATGACCTAGAAATTGCACATCTGTGACTTATATTTTATACCACTGGACTACACATTTGCATCATTTTTATTTTAGTCTCACCAAAATTCTCTGTATGATTATAGTCATTGAGTGGTTGTCAATCAATGACACATCTAAAGGGGATAGAAGTGAAATGTATGCTTATGATTAGGCCTGCCCTTGAAATGTATGTCCTTACGCACATATCAACATTTCCATCCTCTAAACCTCAAAACACATTCTACACACTTCTCTCCAGACATCATGGTACAGAATGTTAGGGCTAACACTATGTGATAAGCCACTAAAGACTAACACTCACACTGCATATAAGAAAGGAATTTTACAGTTTGTCATTTAGATAATACATTAGGAAGTATATATTTAAGTCCAGGAATGAGTAGAAGATTCAGAGAACAGATTATTATTTATTAGTGCACATTATGGGAGCAATGAAGAGGCAGATATTTGGGCCCATGGAACGAACGAGATGGAAGGATAAATAAAGTGACTAGACCTATGAATATCCTAAAAGGGAGGAGCAAGAAATGCATGGAAAGAAGTAAGAACAAAAGTAAAAATTGTTGGATGATCAACAGTAGAAGTTAGACCCCATCAGATGGGCAACATGAAAAAGAGTACCTAATATGGGGAAATTAAACAAATTTCAAAGTTTATAAGCTCAGGTTAGTTATGTGGGAGAATAGTGAACCTGGAGAATCTCAAGTCCATAAAGATCTCTGCAATCATAAAGGAGAAATATGAAGAGTTTCCAAACCACACAGACACTTAAGGTTAAGAGAACCATAGGGAGGACATATTTTAGCTACATGCTGAGAGAAATGACCTTCTAAGTATAAACTTGGCATTGTACACCAGTCCAAAACTCACTGTAGATGAGTGTCTTGCAGGAGTTCCATTTCAAATAAATACACAGAGGCCTATATTAATTATATACTGTTTGGCCAGGCTTCTTATTGGCTAGCTCTCTCAATGATTAATGCATTTGTATAAAATCTATGTACTTCCAAATGGTCTTGGCTTATCAGTGATGCCCGAGCCACTTTCTTCCATGGCAGCCCTATGGCATCTCTTTGGCAACTCACTCTCTGCATTCCTCTTCTCAGCCTTCTTCTAGTCTGCAGCCCTGCCTATACTTCCTGCCTGGCTACATCCTTCCTGTTGAGCCACCAAAACAACTTTATTCATCAACTAATAAAAGAAACATATATTCACAGCATAAGACATCCTCATCATCTCAACTATGGATAACATTGTGGTAATGCCTCTTCAGTCAAGACAGAGTCACATGGACAATGGGAGATGATCATTTCAAGTTATGCAATAAACATAGAATCTGCACCTTCCTTGAACAACCATAAATTAAACTATTTCTATACAACTAAGGAATATGTGATACTGCTCACCTCTCTTCAACCTAGAATACTTCTGAAGCATAAGAACAAAAATAATCCAAGCAATAACTGGAATTTATCACAGAGCATTCTCAATGCATGCTTCCTAGTAGGACATTTGGTTTCTACAAATCTTTATGTGGACAATTTGCTTAGAGAAATACTTACATTATCTGTTGTGGTTTCTCCAAAGATTTTTTAACTTTTCGAAGTTTCTTAGCCATGACATGAGCTTCTTTATCAGCATTAGGAGGCCTTTTCTCATCTTGTTTGTCCTCCAAGAATTGACAAGCATCCTCAGCACATTGTTCTACAGAAGCGAATCTAAATCTGGAAGCAAAAGAATGTATATTTAAAATACCATGTTATCATAAGCTTCAGTCACTCCATCCTTTCTGGTTAGGTGTCACATTTCTCATGTGCATGAGCAAATGGCTGACCTAAGCAATTATGGAAGGGTATAAGCTGTTTTACAGTTTGAAAGGACACAGCTACTTCTACTGGAATAAGGGTAAGCAGGGCAACAAAAGTTAGAGGTGGCTAGTCACATAGTGTATATAGTCATGAAACAGAGCACAAAAAGAAAGTAGGACTGCTATAAGACTTAAAAGCTTGACCTCTGTGACTCAGTATGGCGGTTTAACTAAGAATGGTCACTGAAGACAAAATTTCTGTCCCACCTGATCCTGCAGCCATTTAGTCCCGAATAAACACACTGAGGTTTATATTACTTACAAACTATTTGGCTGATGGCTTAGGCTTCTTACTGGCTATCTCTTGTAATTATTAAATCACTTCTATTAAAAGTAACTATTGCCACAAAGCTGTTGCTTACCCATAATGTTGCCACATGCTAATCCTTCAGTGGTTACATAGCAACTCCCCCTTGACTCTCCCTCTGCATTCCTCTAACCAGAGTACTTCTAGTCTGGTAGCCTTACCAATCCTTCCTGCCTGACTACTGTACAATCAGTATTTATTCATCAGACAATAAGAGAAGCATATATTCACAGCATACAGAAGGACACTCCCCATCAAGTCACCATGGGCTTATGTATTTTAGTACAAAGTCTGTAATTGGTGGAACTGTTTAGGAAGGATTAGAATGTAGAGTATTGGAAGAGGTGTACGACTGGAATCAGGCTTTGGGTTATCAAAAGTCCATGCCATCCCCACTTAGCTATCTCTCCTTGAACATTACTTTCTGATAATGATATACTCTCTCAGCTACTGCTCTAACACCATGCCTACCTGCCTGTTGTCACATCCACCTGCCATAATGGTCATGAACTATAACTCTCTAGAACTGTGAGCCCCAGTAAATTCTTTCTTCTACAAGTTGTTTTGGCCATGGTGTCTCTTCGAAGCAACAGAAACATAATTAAGGTACCCAGGGAGACTTATAGGTCTGCACAAATTTAATATGCATCCTGTTGTTTAATTTGTAGCTCTTATCTGAGGCGTATAAACATCCCAGACAGGGTCCATGGGTAAGGAAGCATCTCCTAACTTTCCATTACCTTCCAAAACAGCACTAGCATCAACTGTTCAAACACACACTGATGGAAAGTACTTCACATGAAAACCATGAGATTGTCATATACTCACTAGAATTTTCTAGCTGGCCTTTATGAATTTTACTTTGAATTCTGGGTGTTCTAGGTACACATACTCCTAATTAGCAACTGAGAAGTCAAAGTTAAGTTTTTCCAATACCATATTCTTGTGACACTGCAGAATGAGGTCATGGAAACTCTCCACAGGACACATATGCCCAGGCAAGAGCAAAGCAGTGATTTGTAAACAGAAAAAAAAGAGAAAATTACCCCTACATTCAAAATAGCCTACTGAAAAATGACAAAGGTTTTTAGTCAACAAAAAAAATGTTTTTTGGCAAAGTGGAATGAGGTATAATTTCTCACTGTTGCATGATCATGTCTTCCTAGAAGATAGGAAACCTTGGAGGGGTTTTATAGCTTTTATAATCCAGAAGGTCTCCTGGACATGGCCATTATACCTTTGAAAATGTAAATGCCTAGGACTATAAAGGTTCAGACTTCTTGGGACCCTGAAATTTACCCTGTGGACCTAGTCTGGATCTTAACTGAAAGATTCAGGCTTCATGCTGGCCTGCCCTAGTTACCTGGCAGAATCCACCCAGGCAGAACCCTAGTCAGCCCAGGGTTCCATGGAAACTAAGTCTGCACACAGGTGTAAAGGGCCCCTTTAAAAGGCAGACCCCTGCCAACTTATGCTCACTTACTCTAACACACACACTCTCTCTCTCTTACCTTCTGTCTCTCTGTTACCCTCTCTCTGTCTCCCCCTTGCATGCCCTGTAATAAACTGCTTAATGTACTTTCTATAGTTAGTGCTCCATCATGCCGGGTTCCATCTCATGCCTTTCTAATTTTTAAACCTCAACAAAAGAACATTAACCATTTAGACTTCTCAGATCTGAGCAAGAAACAGTGCTGGTTGAATTCTCTCTCTAGAAAAAGTAAAAACAGACACACCTCATTTGCATCACATGAATTTCACAGTGTTTAGAATGTAGACTTTCTGATAACAAGCAGGCTGGGGGAAAAAACATTTCATTTTCATTTCACCACTTTGCCTAGGAGCCAAATGCCATGATTATAGGAGCCACTGGGCAACATCACTATATCATAGTATAGCAAATAACAATTTGGAACTGTATAATAAAGTTTAAAATGTGAGACAAAAGTTTTTCTTTAAAAAGTGAGACTTCATAAACCCAGTATTTTCAAATTTGTGGAGCTGGGCCTGTTGCCACAGGCCTGTCTAAAATCCCAGTTAGTAAGAAGGCTGAGACAGGAGGATCACAAGTTGAATGTTAGCCTAATATATACAGAATGGGTCGAAAAACAGCCTGGGTAACTTGGTGAGATCTTAGAAAAGAAAAAGAAATAAATGTCTGAGGCTATTGCTCAGTGGCAGATGGTTTTCTAGTGTGTAAAGCTCTAGGATCTATTCCCAGGCAGTGTCATGAAAGTAAATTAGAAAGAAAGAATCCACAGAGATGGAGGGAGCTACACTGGTGAAGTAAGGATTAAGAAATGACAGCCAGTAGCCAATTCTCAATGCTACATCAGGTAACATATCAAGATCCTGTCTCAAACAAACAAACAGAACCAGAACAAAAAAAAAATGTGGAACTACACAATTTTATGACTTTAAATGACTCACATTATTTTGACAAATAAACAAACACCCAAGTAATAATAAATACTACACCATAGTGGTAATGTGTATATAATTCCCTGTATCTTAAAGGAGGGAGACTAGCACAAATTATGTCACAATATTAAATAACTTACAAAAAGAACAGAGCAGGCAACTTCTCCATTTCCCTGAGCTTCTCAACAAGATTTGGAAAGAATTTCAGCATCTGGCCTGAGTAGTCACAGAAATTGGGACTGAGTTTCTGCAGCACCATTCTGGCCTGTGATAGTGAATGGAAAGGGCTTGTATGAAAATGTGCATAGGTGTATGCCTAAGAGTGGAATTGCTGCATTTTGTGGTAGACTTAACTAACAATCTAAGCACTAGTGGAGAAGCTATCCCCAATAATGAGATTGATGACTACCTTATAAGCCATCCTAGAGCCTTCATCCAGTAGCTGATAGAAGCAGAAGCAGACACCCACAGCTAAACACTGAGCTGAATAAGGGGTCCCAGACTGATAGACGGAAAACCAGCATAGGACCAACCCAGCCCCTCTGAATGTGGGTGTCAGTTAGGAGGCCTGGGCAATCTATGGGGCCTCTGGTAGTAGATCAGTATTTATCCCTAGTGTACGAATGGGCTTTGGGAGCCAATTCCACACAGAGAGATTTTCTCTCAGCCTAGACACATGGAGGGGGATGTCTAGGCCCTGCTCCAAATGATATGACAAACTTTGAAGATCCCCCATGGAAGGCCTTATCCTCCCTGGAGAACAAAAGGGGATGGGATAGGGGGTTGGTGGAGGGCAGGGGAGGAGGGGAGAGAGAAGGAACTGGTATTGACATGTAAAATGAGCTTGTTTCTAATTTAAATTTAAAAAAGGAAAAAAGAGAAAATGTGCATAGGAAAGTAATGAATGGCCATTCTGACTAAACTCTTTCCACAGTTCTTTAGTCTTTGTTTCTGTTATTCTTCAAAATAATCCTATAAGACTATACTACAGGACTGTGGTAAGCCACAGCAAGGTCACATGCAAACCACAGACTCAATAACAAGCTTCTAGTGTACTGTCCACTCCTGCAATTGCTTGAGACAATACAAATCTGGCAGGAGGAGAGGATTGTTCAGTCAGTGGTGCTGTTTCCTGGAACAGTAGAAAAAAGCCCTCTCCAGGCTGCATAGGAAAGTATAGCCAAATATGAATAAGGGGTTTTGAATGATAAGAAAACAAAAGGAAAATGTAACCTAACTATATTATGTCTCCAAATTAAAGAAAAATATGTCAAGGTATGGGGCTAGGGACAGGATCACATGAAAAAATATCATGAATGCTATTCCTAAAAGAAATCAGAAATCTCAATTTTTGATGATAAAATAAGATTATAAACTTAAACAAAATAAATTAGTACACATATAGTTCCAGGGTAAGAATTTAGTTCTTAAATAGTTCTTACAATTAAAATAAAATTCATAAAGAATAAAACCCCAAGGACAGCTACAAACCATTGTCTCTGGACATGACAGGGGCATTGAACATATGAACATATCTCACGGCAGCTGTGGACACCTGCAAAAGAGCTCAGAAGATAAAGCCCAAAATGATTTCCACAGGAACGAGGAGGGACTCACAATGTCTCACCTCTAGCTGAAGAGCTACTGGCAAATGATGGCTGCTTCGGGAGCGGGGAGAGTCATTAAGGTCCATGTCCCAGTGGATGGCCCCATACCCATGCACACACTGGCAGCACTGAGTGGACTCAGTGAGTTTCAAAAGAGAACATGAGGTTGGAAGGGGAACAGGCTGGAAGGATATGGGAGGACTTGGAGGGGAGAATTGGGGAGTGGACTTGAAAACATTCTACACATGTACAAGAAATTCTCGACAATTTTTAAAGAGAAGAAAATGCCGAAATTACAAAAGGAAGAAAAACATGTCACAACTACTTGAGTCCCATTTCTATGCTGCCAAAAGCATCAATTATACCAAGCACAAACCCCGGGTTCTCTCTTGTGTGCCTTCTAATGCATGAGGAAACCATAGCCTCTTGTCAAGGTTTAGGGGACACTAAAGAAGAGATAAAAACAACTTCCTTTCTCTTTCATTTCTAACTTGGGATCACTACACATCAAGTCAAACTTAAAAATCTAAAAACAAAAATTGAAAACTACAAAAGAGAGAAATGGAATGCTTCACCCAAAATGTGTGAAATCACCTGTTCCTCGTTCCCATTTTTAACCCAATTTGTGAATTCTTCCTTTAAGCTCTTCTCATATTCTCTAGCATCCGACTTTTTAATGACTATTTTGTTCTTTAAATGAGTGAAGTTCTCTGGACACAGGTTCTAGGAAAGGAAGACCATAAAATTCCATAAAAATAATGCAGAAAACATAAAGATGTTTCTCAATGATATTTTTCATTTACAGTTTTACAATCTCTTGTATTAGAAGCAGTTGGAATTCTCTTACCTCCCCATACCTTCTAGTATATAGAACTATGTATGAACTCTTCAAAGGCAAGAACACAGAGCAAACAGGTCTCCAGAGAAAGCAACCAACACTCACAACACAAAGAACAATGTGGGATGAAAAGAATCTGAAGACTAGAAACCCAGAGTGGGAAAGGAGACCCAGATACCATAGTGTCTGGGAAGGAAAAAAAAGGGACATTTTCAGGAACTGGCAGAAAAGACCATTTCTAGCCCATTTAACTGAGAAGGTATGAGGATGTCATTTCCTCTGGGGAAAGGTCTGCTAATCCTTTTAAGTCATCGAATGCAAGAGACAGAAATGGTGGCTGTGTGTTTCTGAACAGCAGTGGTGGAATCTACCATAGCAGCATGCATTCCATGCAGATTCTTTACCTGGGCCTGGGGCCAGCTCTTCCAGACCTGAAGCATAGTGTCGTATAGCTGGATGCTTTCTCGAGGCGAAAAGGCAAGGTCAGAAGGGAATCCATACTTTTCAATCTATGGTTAAAATCAAATCGAACTGATTAATATTTTATTTTCCTGACAAGGTGTGAGAACACTCACAAGAAATGCTTGCTTTGAGCATTCAAAGCTGGAAAAATGGTGAAGGCTGCTTTGAGCCTGTTGCCTTTATAAAATTATTTATTTATTTACTTATTTATTTATTTATTTATTTATTTATTAGTTCAAGTTAGAGAACAAGCTTGTTTCACATGTAAGTCCCTTCTCCCTCTCCCTCCCCTCACCCCATCCATCCTCCCCCACCCTCAACCTACCTCCCACCCCATCCACCCACCACTCCCCAGGCAGGGTAGGGCTCTCAATGGGGGCTCTGCAAAGTCCACCAAATATTCCTGTGCTGGGATAAAATAATTTTTAATAATTATGTGTATGTGGAGGAGGTCTATCCCCCTGTCCCTCCCCCAGGCCAAAAGAAGCTGACAGATCCCCTGGAGCTGGAGTTATAGGCTGTTGTGAATCACCCAGTATGGGTGCTGGTCTTTTCACCCTCCTCTTAACTGTAGAGATATTCATCTGATCCATCCTCCACGTTAGCCTTGTATTCTCTTTTTAATTATCAATAGAGAGTGGTCACTTTTTCAGTCAAACTAAAATGAAACAAAAACAAATCCAAGAGCCCTCAGAAGTTTAAAATACAAATCTTTTGTTGGATGGTGGGCTTGAGGTTTCTTAAGTTTCTTACCAACTTACACTGGCTTCAGTTTCCTCGTTTCTAAAATAAAACATTAGCTCTGTCTGTGTCACTAATTTGTTGTGGGAAATAAACCAGGTAATATATGCACAGAGAGGACTGAGAGGTAAGTGACCAGCTTCCCATCTGGACCACACAGCCTCTAGTCCCTAGGTACTGGGGCAAAACCATGGCCCCTCACCCACCCATCTCAGCTGCATTTGCAGGTCAGCAGGAAAAGCTCCTGCAGGCAGGCTACAAAAACGCTCCCCCCAAACTAGACCCTGTAACCTAAAAATCACACTCTGCTCCCAAACCTACCCACTCCCCCATGACCTCAGTATCTGCCTGAGACACAGAAAATCACTGAACCAGAGAGGACTAAGAGAGCCGACCAAGAGTGGCTTCCTGAGACACAGAAAATGACCACATAGATCTCTGAGTCCACTGAGGATCTCTGAGGCACAAACATTGTCTGCAAGGATCAGATCAAGAGGCAAAAGCACTGCCTACTTCTGATTAGAGAAAGAATGGGTACACACCAATGCAAGAAACATTCAAGAACCTAAAGAGCAATATGTTAACACCAGAACCTAGTGGTGCTATAACAGAAAGAGCTGAACACCCCAATGCAGAAGAACCAGAAAAAATGACCTAAAAATAACTTTATGAAGATGATAGAGGCCCTTAAAGAAGAAATGAAAAATCCCCTTAAACAAAAAGAGAAGACAAACAAAAATGGAAGAAATCAGTAAATCTCCTAAAGAAAGCCAAGAGAAAGAAAACAGACAAGTCTAAGACTGGAAAACTGAAATTGAGGCAACAAAGAAAACACAAATCAATGGAATTTTGGAAATGAAACATCTGGGCAAACAAACAGGAACTATAGATGCAAGCATAACCAACAATACAAGAGATGGAGAAAAGAGTCTCAGACATTGAAGATGTGGTAGAGGAAGTAGATTCATTGGTCAAAGAAAATATTAAAGCCAACACAGTCATAACACAAAATTTCCAAGAAATCTGGGATACCGTGAAAAGACCAAACCTAAAAATAATAAGGATACAAGATGGAGAAGAATACCAGCTCAAAGGCACAGAAATATATTCAACAATATCATAGAAGAAAACTTTTCCAACCTAAAGAAGGAAATGCCTATGAAGATACAAGAAGCTTACAGCACAACAAATAGACTGAACTAAAAAAAAAAAAAAAGGAAAAGAAAAGAAAAAGAAATCCTCCTCTCACCATATAATAATTAAAACACAAAATGTACAGAATAAATAAAGAATATTAAGAGCTACAAATGAAAAAGGTCAAGTAACATATAAAGGTAGACACATCAGAATAACACCTGTCTTCTCAACGTAAACTCTCAAAGCCAGAAGGTCCTGGACAGACATTATTCAGACTCTAAGAGACCATGAATGACAGCCCATACCACTATGCCCAGCAAAACTTTCAATCATCATAGACAGAGAAAACAAGATATTTTATGACAAAACCAGACTTAAACAATACCTATCCACAAACCTTACAGAAAGCACTAGAAGGAAAACTCCAACTCAAGGAGTTTAGAGGTACCCAGGAAAGCATAGACAATAGATAATCCTATACCAGCAAATTCTAAAAAAGAGAAACACACACATCACCACCAAAAAATAACAAGAATCAACAGTAACTGCTCATTGATATCCCTTAATAACATTGTACTCAACTAGCCTATAAAAAGACACAATCTAACAGAATGAATATGAAAACAGGATTCATCCTTCTGCTGCATACAAGAAACCCACCTCAACTTCGAAGACAGACATTACCTCCTAGTAAATTGTTGGGAAGACACTTTCAAATCAAATGGACCTAAGAAGCAAGCTGGTATTGAAAGGTCAGCATTATGCAGAATCCACTCAGGCAGTACCCTGGTCAGCCCAGGGTTCCATGGGAACTGAGTCTGCATGCAGGTGTAAAGATCCCTTTAAAAGACAGATTCCTGCCCACTTACGCCCTCTTCTCTTACGCTTCTCTATCTTCCTCTTCCTCTCTTCCCCTACTCTTAAGTTCATAAAACAAACATTACTAAAGCTTAAATCACACATCAAACCTCAAAAACTAATAATGAGAAATTTCACCGTACCATTCTCACCAGTGGATAGGTCTGCCAGACAGAAAATTAACACAGACTTAAGGGCTCTAACAGACATTATAACTCAAATGGACTTAACAGACATCTATACAACAGTCCACCCAAACACAAAAGAATATACTTTCTTCTCAGCAACCCATGGGACCTTATCTAAAATTTACCACATACTCAGTCACAAGGCAAATCTCAACAGATACAAAAAGAAATTGTAATAACCCCCATATCTTATCCAATCATCATGGCTTAAAGTTAGAATTCAACATTAACACAAATTCCAGAAAGCCTATACAAACTCATGGAAACTGAATAATTACCAATGGAATCACCCCTGGGTCAAGGAATAAATAACAAAATAAATTAAAGAATTCCTAGAATTCAATGAAAATGAAGACACAATATACTCAAACTTATGGGATGTTTTGAAAGCAGTACTAAGAGGAAAGTTCAAGTCCCTAAAGAAAGAAATTGAAGAGGATATCAGAAAATGGAAAGATCTTCCATGCTCTTGGATATGTAGGATCAATATAATAAAAATAGCAAAAGCAATTAAAAGATTCACTGCAATTTCCATCAAAATCCCAACACAAATCTTCACAGACCTTGAAAGAATAATATTCAATTTCATATGGAAAAAAACAGAATAGCTAAAACAATTCTATACAATAAAGGAACTACTGGTTGCATCACTATCTCTGACTTCAAAGTTTATTACTATAGAGGTATAGTAATAAAAACAGCTTGGTATTGGCATAAAAACAAATATGAGGGTCAATGGAATCAAATTGAAGACCCTGACGTTGATCCACACACATCTGATTTTTGACAAAGAAGCCAAAATGGTACAATGGAAAAAAGAAAACATGGTTAACGAATGGTGCTGGAATAACTGGATGCCAACAAGTAGAAAATTAGAAATTGATCCATATATATCCCGATGTACAAAACTCAAATCCAAGTGGATCAAGGACCTCAACATAAATCTAGTTACATGGAACCTGATATAAGAAAAAGTGGAAAGTAGCCTTGAATGGTTAGCACAGGAGACCACTTCTTAAATATAATACCAGTAGCACAGATGCTGAGAACAACAATCAATAAATGGGACCTCCTGAAACTGAAAAGTAAGGCAAAGGACACTGTCAAAAAACAAAATGGCAACCTACAGAATAGGAAAGATCTTCAACAACTCAAAGTGGTAATCTCCAAAATATATAAAGAATTCAAGAAACTAGACATCAAAACACAAAACCCAATTGAAAAATGGGGTACAGAGCTAAACAAAATTTTTACCAGAAGAAACTCAAATGACCAAAAGACATTTAAGGAATTGTTAAACATCCTTAATCATCAAAGAAATGCAAATCAAAATGACTCTGAGATACCATCTTATACCTACCTAAGATCAAAAATACTGAGGACAGCTTATGTAGGAGAGGATGTGGAGTCAGGGGAACACTCCTCCACTGCTGGTGGGAGTGCAAACTCGTACAGCCACTTTGGAAACCAGTATGGCATTTTCTAAGAAAATTGGTAATCAAGCTACCTCAAGAACCAGTGAACCTGGAAAAAACATAGATGCCTCTCAACCAAAGAACTGATGAAGAAAATGTGGTATATCTACACAATGGAGCACTACTCAGGTGTTTAAAAAAAAATGAGGACCTCATGAAATTTTCAGACAAATGAATGGAACTAGAAAAAAATATCCTGGGTGAGGTAACCCAGACTCAGAAAGACAAACATGGTATGTACTCACTCATAAGTGGATATTAGATGCAAAGCAAAGGATAACCAGAGAAGCTAGGTAACAAGGAGAACCCTAAGAAGGACACATGGATCACCCTTGGAAGGGAAAGTGGATCAGATCTACTGGGTAAATGAGGGTGGTAATGTGGAGGGGATGGAATGAGAACATGAGAGAAAGGGATGGTCAAGGATGGGCATGGATGTAGTGGAAGAGCAGTGAAAGGGATGTCTTAATAGAGAGAGCCACTATGTGGTTAGGGAGACTCCTGGTGCTAAGGAAATTCCCAAGAATCCATAAGGATGACCCCAACTAATACTCCTAGCAATAGTGGAGAGGATGCCTGAACCCCTGTAATAAGATTGGTGAATATCCTAACTATCGTCATAGAGACTTCATCCAGTAATTGATGAAAACAAATGTAGAGATCCACAACTAAGCACCACACTGAACTCTGAAACTCCAGATGAAAGAGGGAGGAGGGAATGAATATATGAGCAAGGTAGGTTAATACCATAATGAAGAAAGCTACAGAGACAGCTGAACCAAGCTCCTGGAAACTCATGAACTCTAAACTGACCACTGGGGAGACTCCAGGGTACCAAACTAGGTCCCCAATATGTGGGAGACAGTTGTGAAGCTTGGACTGTTTGAGGGGCCCCTGGTAGTGGGACCATGATACATGAGCTAAATAGTTGGATCCCATTCCCTATGTTGGAATGTCATGCTCAGCCTTGATGCATGGGAGAGGGGCTTGGTCCTGTCCCAAGGTATTGTGCCAGACTTTGTTAACTCCTCATGAGGAGGAGTGAACTGGGGGTGACCTTGGGGGAAAGGTCAGGAGGGGGTGGGATGAGGGGTGGGAAGGAGAACTGTGGTTGGAATGTAAAGTGAAATTTAAAAGACTGAATAAATTATTTTAAAAATTCAAAAATTTCATCGTACTTATATCCTTATTATTTTTAAATGAAAAGTGTTATAGGAAAATTCAAATTGCTTCTGTTTCTACCTTCTATAGAGAAGGATAATGATAATGTATATGTGAATTTCCTTGTTCATTTTAGATACTTTAAATGAACAGGTTGAACCCATATGGATTATAAAATATATCTGAAGAAAACTTTCAAATATTTTTGACAGACTTCAGAAAGCCAGATATTTTCAGGTGTAAATTCATCGTTTGTTTTCATGTGCTAATTTAAAATTCATTTTAGGAATAAATAAAAATCAAATAAATAAATAAACTAGGTAATAAATATGAGTCTTAGCCATATATCTGGCACAGAGTTGCTGCATCATCCATCAATATGTTTTATTAATCAATAAATTCATAATCCGTAAGTTTTAAGGAATTTAACACCTCTGTGGTCCATGCTGGAATTCAGTCTAGATGTTTGCCACTACAAACTGGCAAACTGGCAAACAGGCAAAACCTGAACCAATTGAGACAGAGAACAAAGAGGAGTAACAGTAAACACTAAAGAGTGGTCCTTTGGTTATTTTGTAAATGCAAGTGTCCCCAGTACCTGGGTGATCTTAACAATCAATCCACTGAGCAAGAGATGGCAGTTCTTTCAAGTGATTCCTGGGACTGACAGCAGCAGCTGTGCCTGGATGGCATGATAATTGATGGCAAAGGTCAAACAAGGCTGCAGCTTGCCAGAAACAAGACATGTAAGGCTGAGGGCAATCCCTCACTGGTGATCCCTTCCTTCTGCTGGGTTTAGGACAGATCATTTGTACTCTCCTATCTCTTGCTTTGGAAATTATTTTTTCTGACACAGCCATCAAGGAAACAGACAGATGACTCTTCTCCTTATGTACTACAATTTATCATATTTTCGGGTGTTTTTAAGCCATTCAGTTCTTTCATTTAATCTTAGTGTAATAAAAATGTTCAGAATTATTTACACATTTGGAATTTACACTCATTTCTGTTTTCCTTTCATAGGAAATGTCCTATGTGAGTGCATGTTTTGCAAGTGGTTGTTAAAATTAATTTAGCCATGCCTAAGCTTAACATTTACTCTATAGCCTTGCTACCAAGTTCTAAAGATGTTAAGATTCATACAACATGACCTTTATGGAAGTCACATAGGGTCAGAGCACACTGCAGCTACTCTATTGCTTTCCAGTTACTCCATTAATAGCTACTAAGCAGAGAGGGGAGGCACTTGGAGACAGCACTGAGCCAGTATACTTGAGGCTGCTTAAAGATAACGTGCCTTAACAACTTTATACAGTACAAGTCATTTTTACAGTGCTGTGCTGTTTTTAAAAGATACTGGGTAATGCTGAAAATGTCTGACAGTCTGCAAGTTTCAGAAAGGCAGTGAAGGGAAAAGGAAGAAAGGAAGGGAAAAGGAAGAGAGGAAGAGATGAAGAGAGGGAGGGAACAAAGGGATTTCTTTATTATTGATGGCTAGCCTAAATCTATATTCTTAGTATAAATTAAAGCATAGGATTTCTCCCTTATTTCAGTTGAATTTGGAGTTTGAATTGGGCCATTACCACTAAGAAGATAAGGTTTCCTCACAAACATTTTACTACAAAAATTTCATATTCAGATTCATTTCATTGCCTTTGGAAGTCATTGCAATAGTCAGCCAAATACTATCATGTGGTATGAAGTGGGATGTCTGTCTGTACAACGTGAATATATATTGTTCTTATTGGTCAATAATTAAAACTGTTTTGGCCTATGGCAAGGCAGAATATAGCTAGGTGGGAAATCCAAAACAGATATACAGGAGAAGAGGGGCAGCCTCAAGAGAAATTGGAGCTGTCAGCAACAGCCTAAGGAGAAACATGCCATAACAGAGATAGCTCCTTGGCCATGTGGTAATGCACAGATTAGTAGAAATGGATTAATTTATAAGAGAGGGCTAGCCATTAATAAGCCAGAGCCATCAGCCAAGCAATTACATTCAATACTAGCCTCTGAGTCATTTCCTAAGTGGCTGTGGGGACTGACAGCTAGTAAGAAACCAGTGCAGCAGGAACAGACAAAACAGAAAAAAAAAGCATTCAGCTACAGTGTTGTTCATGGATATATGGCATACATAAGCATATTCATGAGCATATAATATATATGAGCATATTCATGAATGTATGATATACATTAGCATATGTTGTATGTGAGCATGTATACATAATATGTATGGTGCACTACTATATGTGATAGACAAAGCTTTCATATCAACATGGAATTAATCAATACATCTTAGATTATGGCTGGTCTGTATCATTTACTTAGTGTTATCATAGTGACATAGACGTCTATGTCTCACTTACATTATTTGTAAAATAAAACCTAGTAGGAACTCTATCATCCAACTGTAATGGTTAAAAGAGGTGAAATGTGTGAATATTTTACAAACATAATTCCAATCAGCTACCCTTTAAAAAGCAGCCAGTATTCATACAGCATTGTGCTAGTAACTGGCAGGACATGAAATTCATCCTGCAGCAATGGTTTCAGAACACTAAAAGGCAAGTGGTGAAGGTTCAGTGGTAATCTGGCTTTGGTAGCAAAGAAACACAAAGTACTGTGCAGTTTACCTACCAGCTGAGAGAGCCACAATGAAATTCTTTAAAAGGCTCCACATTTTAAGAGCTTCAACATAAAAATCAAGATCCAGGCATTAGCCTTTGGCATTTAGAATGAACAGGGTATAGCATGAAGGCTTCCAAACAAAAACAAAAACAAAAACAAAATTCAGTAAAGGTAATATAGAGTAGAAAGAGCCCCTGAAAGATACTAGCCTTCAAGGGCCATGTGCTTAGCCCTTTCTGAGGAAGTCCAGAAAAGCTGTTTAAGGAATAGAATTATAACTAGGGAGCCACAATGTAGTATCAGAATGGAGAAAATACTTTATTTTCCAGGTCTTGGAAGGATGATGAAGGAATGGCTATCATTTTAAGGGCTAATGCAAGTTTAAATGATCCTTTCAAGGGAGTGGAAGGGGAAAAAGCAGGTATATGCAGGAAATATCTCAGAAAGTATCCCCCACTAGCCATTAAATAGCCCATTGGCATTGTTTCAAGGTCTCTACTCTGCTGACTCATTACCACAGAGCCACAACTTGATTGTTAGGGCAATGGGAAGCATGCGTTCCTGGATTGAGATCACACACATTAGTCATGCTCCCATGTGTGAGGCTTATCCACACAAGGCTACTGCTGCACTGAGAGGACAGGTTAAGACCTGTCCTTGACACTTAGTAAGTGGTGCAGTAGTGAGCTAGTGAGGAAAGACAGGCAGAAATAATTTCCCCAAACTAACAAAATCATCAAATTAAAGTGTTTAGTAGTTTTTAAACTTTGAGGATCTTCATAGCATCATAACACTAAGAAACTATTTGTGATATATTATTTATGATTTATTAACACTTTCCTGAGGGTACAGAAAGCAAAGACAGCCACAAGCCATAAAGGTCAGACAATGGTGATAAACACCTTTAACCCCAGAAGTCATACTAACAAGCCATACAGCCAGGCAGTAGTGGCAGATATCCAATCCCAGGACTCAGGAAACAGGGAGATGGATGTATCTAACTTAAAGGCCACCATGGCCTACAGTAGAGTAAAGAGTAGCACAGCTCACACCTTTGATTCCAACACTTGGGATCACACACCTGTAATCCCAGCCCTGAGGAGGTGGAGACGGGAGTGATATGGCTGGGCAGAGAAAAGAATATAAGGAATAGGAGACAGGAACTCAGAGCTCTTTGCCTCTGAGGATTCATGGAGTCAGGATTGCATTTTCAGTTTGGTAAAGGTAAGATCCACTGGCTTGGCTGCTTTGCTTCTCGGATCTTCAACTTGAAGCTTGAACTACTGCATCTGTCTCTGGGTCTTTTATTTTTCGTGCTACAAAGTTTGGAAACTAGAAACTACTGTTCATTTTTAAATCAAAGCCGTAGTATTTCCTCATTCATTCTAGCACCAGGCTGCACTTTGGATACATTCTGCACAGTGTTATATTTTCAGTTCAAAGCCAGACAGTGCTGTTACATAGAACAACTGTGGCAAAGGTTGTGACTTACGTGATCTGTGGTTAGTGCAGCACATGGGTGAAAATGATCAAAGCAAACATCATCCTGTCTCACAGAACATAAATACTTCTCTAGATCATTGTATCTCTCTCCATAGAGCACTGAAAGGGAAAAGACATGGTTCCCAATTTATCAGAAATGTGATCAGTGGAATAATTTTAAAGCAAAATAGCCAAACCAATTGAAAAGAAGAGCATACATACCAAGTCTAACTTTGTATGACTGTCTTGCTTGCACTTGGTCTTTGTGATGACTGCCACGGGAGCCAGCATTTCTTTTGGTAAAAGTTAATTTTCCCATTTCACTGTCTACTTTTTTCCAGTACCTCTTTACTGACTGGAGCCACCTTTAAAAATTAGACATATTACTTAAGATTTCAATCAGTAATGTGTCTAATCTTTCATGTTTCAAATGCTTGGTCCCCAGTCTTTGGTATTATTTTTGAAATCTGTGGAGCCATTAGAAGGTGGAAACTGCATAACAGAACTCAGTAACTAGCAGTGAGATTTGGAAGAGTAATTGACAACCAACATTTGCCATCACAAAGGTTATACTAGCCAGTGGTTCTTTTCTAGTTCTCTCTGCTTCCTGTCTGTTGCCATGTGAACAAGCTGCTACCTCAGGCTCCCATTTCTTGCCTTTCCCACTGTGATGGGCTGAAATGCTTCTAAAACATGATTCTAAAGAAAGCAATACCTCTATTAAGGTATTTTCGGTCAAATCAACACAAAAGTTACTCATACATTATTTAAGCAAAAAAATAAATAAATAACTTACAGCTGGGCATTGGTGGTGCACGCCTTTAATCTCAGCACTTGGGAGGCAGAGTCAGGTGGATCTCTGTGAGTTCCAGGCCAGCCTGGTCTACAGAGCAAGTGTCAGGATAGGCTCCAAAGCTACACAGAGAAACCCTGCCTCAAAAAACAAACAAACAAAGAAAAAACCTTACATGAAACTTCATGTGTCTTAAATTTTTCACAAAAGGGAATTAGTTCTAGAGCCACATAACCTGAAATAAAATTCTAGCTTCCTTACTATTAACTCTGAATCCTGCATGAACCATTTAATATTTCTGTGCGTGTCTTTCCTGTTTAAAACCAATAGAATAGAAAAAATATTATTATCTAATAATAATGGAAATAGTAGCATGTCAAATATTGATATTTAAGAAATTACTATATGCAAAACACCTAGGACACATGGGAGATGCTAGAGGATATGCTATTATCAGTAGTTAATATTCAAGACCAATGACAAGATGTGTGGCTTTCAACTAATAAAAAACTTTGCTCCCTTTCTAGACAAATACATCTACAAAAATGGATGATCTTGGAATCTATCATTCCATCATCTTGATTTTTGTATACTAGTAAAGAGGGGTTGGGAAAAGGAAGATGAATATTCAACTATCATTTTATTTTTGAGCTATTACATAATTCTTGCTATTCAACTGTAGATCTAACCCTTGGGGTGCTGGGTATTTCTTTGTAGAGAGTAGCCAAGACTTATCAGAAAGAACTAAACAGACAGTAGCTTGAAAATTCGTAGAATGCTGTGAGTTAACCAGAAATTGAGGTAACTCTAAAGCCCATAAAGGATTATTAAATTCAAACTTTCAGAACAGATAAACATTCTGTCCAAAATAGACCCCAATCCATACTCAGTAAGATGTTCAGGGTTGCTTATGGTAGCTGAAAGGGCCAAAAAGGGACATCGGATCATGACAAGGAGATGCTCCCAGATTTCTGCTCCAATTTCTCCACCAAGACAATGAACCTATAAAAAAAAGAATGTTTTATTTTTTCGATTGACAGGATAGTTTTAAGAAAGGTTAATTAAAATAATATATGAAATCTTAAATTGGTCACAGGTATGTCCCATCACCTTTACGAACCCTGTCAAGTTTAAAGAATTATTAGAAAAATGAAGATGTAGGACATCTTGGCACTTGAATTTTCCTTAGGATTTTTAACCAATCCACCTGTGATTCCTTTTTATTTTGTTTTCAAAACTTTCTTTCAGGCATATGTATTTCTTGCCATGTCTATTGACAATCAAAAAAAAAAAATCTCAGTCACAATACAACACCTTTGTGACTATTGCCCTAATTGGATAACTACAATCTTGACAGTGCAGACAAAATGACATGCTTCAAAGAAAAGCAGTATGTAGTCCATTCCTTGTGGAACAAATGTAAGCATTTAATGGGATACATAATGATTGGCATATTTGGCCCACTGCTGCTATTGCAACATCATGTGAAGTCACTCACCCTCAGTCTTACTACCACCCATACACATCAGCCACTTCTTTGTTCCTCAGCACACACTTCCCACCCCAGAGCTTTCACATGGCTGTCTCCCCTGGATAAAATATTCTTAGCAATAAAATAAAAGCCAACAAATATAGCCATAGCCTCTTAATCTGTAAAGCCCATCTTGGTGTCATTAGTTTGAAAGATTTTGCTAACTATCCATCCATTAAAGAGTGGTCCCCCTGCCTGTTTTTTTTTGTTTGTTTGTTTGTTTTGTTTTTTTTTGTCATTGTTGCAATTGTGATTGACACTCCTGATCTTCACAGTAAGCACTACTGGCAGATTATAAGCATTTGTGTGTTCCCTTGGTTTGACTTACCTTTCTCATTTAACCTGTATCTTCAAATCTGACACAATGACTGCCTCTAGGGTGGCATTTCTCAAATGAGACTGAGTAAATGAATGCATGACCAAACTCAATTAGATGGGCATGATGGTAACAAGTTAAATTCCACCCCAGCAAACAAACTTTAAAAGACTTACTATCACTTAAGAAGTTTTACATAAATGTGTAGAGATGCATATATACATATTTACTACTGCCTATTTGACTTTGTCTTGGGTGGATGACATACTATTCTGGTAAATATTCACTTTAAACTTTGCAATATTCAGCAATTTTCTCTGGCTCTGACAGAATAGAAACAAGCCATCAAAACCTTTAGTGGTTGCCCTCATATAAAATTGGAAGAACTGAGGTGTCCAATGTTATACATTTTCAGAGTTTGGAATCCAATTTACAACTAGGTGTTCTAGATTGTTTTATAATTTTAATATTTTAAAATGTTACACGTGCCACACAGTGGTGACACATACCTTTAATCCCAGCACTTGGGAGGCAGGGGCAGGTGGATCTCTGTGAGTTCAAGGCCAGCCTGGTCTACAGAATAAGTTGCAGGACAGCCAAGGCTACACTGAGAAACACTGCCTTGGAAAAATAAAATTTATACGTATGAGTGTTTTATCTAAATGTATGTATGGCCTTGTTTTTTTCACTAAAGCTATCCAAAGTCCCTAGGATACAAAATATATAAGTTAACTACTTAACTTATAAATAAACATAATCAGTCAAGTCAAACAAATAAAAGCATGTCTTGTTTGGTAATTTCAAGTTTATGACACAAAGGAAAAGTGTTTTGGATTTGGGTCAGTGGTGGACTGCTTCAAAGACCTGAATTTAATCTCCAGAACTACAAATTATTTGTCACCATTATTATTACTGAAATGAAGTAAAGATTAGATAACATAGGCTTCTTTTTTCTTTTCAGTTTAAAATCCAGGAATAAAAGAATGTATTTTTCTACCATGTTTTAAGTCTCTGTTAATAAGTATAATGAATAATGCTGCCATATAACTTCGTTAAGTAGCTTCCATCAGAAAGTCTACATCTACACCGATTTTCACCCCAGTCTCTCTGCCCAGGGAAGTTGATCTACAGATACTTCAGCGGGCCTCCCATGTCCTCTGGATCTCTAGCTTTGAAATACAGGTCAGAAGATGAGGTAGCAGGCTGAGATCCTCTTTCTGTTGGTCCCCTCCCAGGTTGCCTGAGCCTGCTGTGTACTTCAACTAAGGTACACTGCTTGAAATGTAGCCCATTCTATCAGAATCTTCTTTGGAACCAAAAGCAAATACTTCCTTCCCTTGTCCCTTTAGGGACAGTAAGTTCACTCTGGATTTCCTCACTAATGTCTTTTTAAAAACAGACTATTAAAACCATATTTTGAATAGGCCACTAGTTGTCCTAAAGGATCATGATGGACAGAATTGTTTGTATCTTAGGCATCATTTGCTGGTGCGTGCAAACCTTTGCTTTGGAGACCAGACTGGATTTTGAATTTCTATCAAGGGAAACTCATGTGTCATGAGTTTAATTCTGTTCCCTCCACAACAGCATCCCCAGGAAGATTGGTTTCTCACATGTGCAGAGCTCTCACCACTGCACACTATGAGTCACAACAGAAGTGAGAAGGGTAATTCAGCTGAGGAAAATGCTCAGAAGAAAATCACCTCCAAACCTGAACCCCATCCAAGGGGCACATGTCATGAAGCAGCAAAGACTTGCAGTATTTATGAACACTGGGAAGAGAGCCTGAGAAGTGAAATCAAACCTACCTCATCAAATATAACATATCTGATCCTCTTCACCCAGCTTTGGCGATGCGGAGCCAGTAGCAGAATTTCAAAGCAGGCAGGCACGGTAACAAGCACCTAAAAACACAGTGTTGTGTGAAGTAACACATGTGCATAGGCATAAAACTACAAGAGGTAAAACTTGTGAGTCCTGAATTTCTCTTCTAATAATTAAGATCCGATGCTACTTCTAAGAATTGGATTCATTACACTTGTTATATTACTTTGAACCACATGAAAACTCAATTTTCCTGGGACAGAATAGTAAAATACCAAATTTGAGTGCTGATTCTTGCTTATGACCTCTAAAATGTGTCCAGCCCTTAGTGGGACACTGTATTGACCTCTTTCGCAACCCAACTATCAGGGAAGGAGATGGAAAGAAAAAGAGAGCCAGGAGAATGGACAGAATATTGTGAACTGCTGTCTTCTGAACATGGCATAGCAATTCCACTCATGAACTCACAGTAGTACAAGACCAGCAGAAAAAATCAAACCTGCAGAGGAGGTATTGGAAATAGGTGGCTGCGGGGGAAAAAGATATGATACTGGGAGGACTGTGGGTTGCAGGGGGTAAAGGGAGGTGGAAGGAGAAAATGGGGATGGGTGGATATGATCAGAATACAAATCAAGCATATATAAAATTCTCAAATAATAAATGAAATGTTTTAACTAAATAAAAACTTTACAAAGAAAAAATATATAAGAATCAAAGCAATTAATTTCAACTTTTGTTTTTGTTTTTCAAGACAGGGTTTTTCTGTGTAACAGTCCTAACTGTCCTGGAACTCACTTTGTAGACCAGGCTATCCTCGACCTCCCTGAGATCTGCCTGCCTCTGCCTCCCAAGTGCTGGGATTAAAGGTCTATGCCACCACTGCACAGTTTATTATGCCTACTTTGAGTCTTTCAAATCTAACACTAACAGAAAAGTTGTGTTGAATATGTTTCTTTGAAAAGCAATCCAGGCAGCATACTGCTAAGTATACTACATAATGCTCTACAAGCATGTCTTGTTTTTCAGGTATCATAATTATTGACTGAAAATTCAATAATAAAGAAAACTATAACTTCATCAACAATACAACACATTCATTAACTACAACACAACATTTTTAACTAAAATGAATACTGTTAACAAGAGAAAGTAATTATAATACATTGCTGTCCAATATTTTATAGATTGTAAAGATCTTTGGATCATTTTGAATCACACTGTAAAGCAAAATGATAAATGGCCTATAAACTAAAAGTTTAAATCAAACAAAAACATCTTTAGAGAAAATGAATTCTACTTTTCACATTCTTTAGAATGTAAACAAATTTACATTTTCTCTGAAGCAGTTTTGTCCTTCCCAAATTCAAGGATATAATTTTCACAAGCCTTGTGATGATGTTAGCTTCCTAGTCAAGAGGATATAATGTTGTTATATAACCTGACATCAATTTTATTAAATAGAGTGTCAAACCTGGCAGTTCAGGGCATCATGACGATAGTCCCTAGTAAAAACACCACACAGTGCTCCACCAGTGGGCAGAATTTTGGTGTAACGACTTTGAACAGTTGCTGCCACCTGATTAACAAGTGCCTGGTTGACAGGGAAACAGATGCATTAGTTACATAATAAAGCACAGATCATCAAAACTTAATGGAATGATGGAAATGTCCAAAACTATGTTCTGCTATGAATGAGGAAAACCTAACAAACCCTTTCCTCTACCTACTCTACACTAAAAACCCTTTGAGCAGTTGGACTAAAACTCTGAACCTCTTTGATTAACAACAACCTACAGTAAAACAGAAAATGAAAGCATTTGTCTGAAAGTAAAATGGCAAATGTACCCTTTATAGTAGAAAAATTGAGATATACAGCACAACAATTGAATAACCACCATTTATAATCTGAGTCTATCACAGGTAGAAGCTCAAACAGATTGGTATCTCCTATTTCAGAACTTCACCCAGATGTCAGAAGCTTGACTTCAAACACCAATCTACACAGTCTCACTTAGGATCGAGCAGGTAGCATGGCCAGCAGAATCTATAAGCCTTCAAACACCTGTTAAATGCTTGATACTCCCCAGAGTACACACCATATAGGTGAAAATGTAAAGTTTATAATATATGCACAAATATATTTAAAAGTGACATGCCAGTTATTTTAATGTATCTGAACACACAACCTCCTTGTGCTGGCTAGTTTTACCTCAACTTAACCCAAATGTTAGTCACTTGGGAATAGGAAAGCTCTGGTCCCATCAGATTAGCCTGTGGCTAACTTTTTTGATTAATAATTGATGTGGGAGGGCCCAGTACACTGTGGACAGTGTCACTCTAGGCTAATGGTCCTGGCTGCTGTAACAAAGCAGGATGCTCAAGCCATGAGGCACACCTCCATGGCCTCTGCATCAATTCCTGCATCCAAGTTCCTACCAAGTTTGGGCTCCTACCTTGACTCTCTCAGTGATGGATTGTACTGTGGCAGCATAAGCTAAAATAAACCCTTTCCTCCCAAGTTTCTTTTAGTCATAGTATTTTATCACAGCAATAGGAACACTAATGAAGACAGCCCTCAAATGAAAACATGAATAGTTCTGACTACACAAAGATTTTAATACCATCATTGGAATGAATAACTGAAATAAACTAAGGTAATAGCTTGATCCATGAATGTATATTTCATTGTGGTTCAGAAAAAAAAGATGTATTATGTGCTACACAAAAGTTGATCAATTAGTAAAAAAGACCAACTCCTCCATTATAAAAAAGTAGGCAAATGTATCTTCAAGTATGTCATGAGTAAAGAAGTACCAGAGACCAAAAGTCATGCATAAAAATATCAAGCAAATCACTAGTCAAGGAATGTACATCTAAATATGCAAATATAAAAACACACACCTAAAACTTATACCTCTAAATGTAGCAAAAGATGGCTCAATAACAACAGAAACCTCGAGAAAGATTTGAGATTGCATCTCACAGCAATTAGATTAGGCAAATCAAGAAGACAAATGTTAACAGTGGGGGGGGGGGTAGTAGAAAGGGTAAAAGTTTAAACTGGTATACCCAATACAGAAATCATTATTGAGCTTTCCCAAAACACTAAAAATAAAACTATATGACCTAGCTATATCCCTTTTCCTGGGTATATACCCAAGGTCTTTAATATTACTACAGAGATACATGCACATCCAAATCTCTATTTCCACTATTCCAATAGCTAGGAAATAGATGCAGCCTTGATGTCCATCAAAAATTAATAGAAAAAGAAAATGTATAAATACACAATTCTATGTAAATATAAATAAAACAATGTTGTTCACAGAAAAAATGGATGGAGCTGGGAAATATTATATTAAGCAAAAATAATACAAACTCAGAAAAACAAATGTCATATTTTCTCTTATATTTGGATCATAAAATTTAGTTTTTAGTGTATGTATAATGTGGGTGTGAGTGGGTATATAAAGGTCATAAAACTAGAAAGGGAATCATGAGAGGGAAGATGGGTCATAAGGGGGGAAGGAAATAAGATAATAGAATATGAGTGACTTGAACGTGGAATGGGAGCTACACGAAAATAAAGTGGAGTAGCGGAGGGGGGTTACATCATAGGCAAAGGAAATGGTGAAGAAGGGTCAAAAAAACCAAAAACTATCTACAAAGCTCTATTATGAGGCCCATTTATTTGTATATTAATTTTTAACTAGTGAAAACAAATAAAGGGAACCAGATCTATCACATGACCAAGTCTAGAATTTCTGAAGAAGTCCTTAAATGAAGAAAAATACAACATGCACTGGATCCCTACCTTTGTTGGTGCAACATATACCACCACGCCTTCATTACTTTCCTTCAGCACCTTCTCCATGCAATAGTAGGAAGCATAGGTTTTGCCAGAGGATGTGGGGGCAACAATCACCGCAGACTCATAGTTATCCACCACATCCAGGAGCTCTCGCTGCAGGGGTCAGATCATAATTTGTGTCAGCCAAACTAGCCATATGCTACCCAAACAGATCAGTCTTTCTCTGTTATGATTTTCTCTGAACCTCAGCGATGGAGAGCTGCAGAACTCACAGAAAAACGAAAAGGAAACCGTGATAGATGACTCATTCCCTCAAATGATGCAATCTGTTTGCTTATGAGCAGCTGCGAAATGAATCGTAGGTGTGACAAAGGAGTCAAAGGACTAAGTTGAACTGCACAGAAAAGGGACACTACTTAGGAAAAAGAAGGAGCCAATGAGGAAGGCAGTGAAGCAAGTGTGCTTATTGATGGAACTGTGATCATAATACACAACATACGTGGAAGAAAAGACCACAGTCTAACATGTTCTTCTGTATAATGAATATATAATAATAAAAAAGAAAAATTACTCAAAATAGTGTCAGAATAAGATCTTATTATTATGGAGGTTGTTTTTAATAGGAGTACAGAGTATCTTTGAGAAATTCAATTGTTGGAACCAGCCAACCCATATTATTATGGCAGTAAGCAAATGGTTGAAGCACAAAAACAGCAAAGATTCTCCATTTTTCTGCTTACCCTTGATGGGCGACTATTTGGGAGCATCATCTTTTCATCCTATGATTTTATTCATCAATATGATGAGTAGTCAAAAGAATGGAAACCTATGTGAAGTACAGAAAACAGAAAGCTCTCTAAAATCCCAACCTGCCCACCCTGTGAATCTAGTCCTACCTAAATGCCACACTCCAGAATGAAAAGGTAGTGAAAGAATTAGAAGGTGTATGGAAAGTAGGAGTAGACTTGACTGCCCTGTAACCTACACTGAAATAAGTAATGTGTCCCTTGCTCATGGAAATTCAGCATTTTGTAAAGGAACCCCAACATTAATAACATAAGGAAAGGTCCATGTTCCAGTTTGCATATGGCTTCATGTCCCCCAGGAATCCTAGAATCTTGCACCCAGGTTGAAGATATTTGGATGCATTGAAAAGTTTAAAAAGTGGAGTATACTCAGAGGTCTATAGGTCACTATGAGTCACAGTCTTGGTAAGTAAAAGATTTGTTATGCAAGTCCTAGGCCCAACTAGCTTTCCCTGATTCCTGCGTTTAGTGTTATGCTTTCTCACACAGGCTGTCCCACCACAATGTGATGCCATTCTATTGTCAAGCTGGCACTGGAAGCCAGACCAATGGAGCCATCCAATTTCCAGTGTTGAAACTGCAGAAATAAGCATCTATACGTTAAATAAGCATCTTTACATTAAAGCTAGACTGCCTCGGGTTTTTCATTACATTAATGACAAGTGGTTTACAAAATCTGAACTGAGTGGGACAACCAGTCAGACTGAACCTACAAAATTGCATTTGTATAACTAAATAATGTTCAACTTGTCGTGTGTGTGTGTGTGTGTGTGTGTGTGTGTGTGTGTGTGTGTGTGTTTCAATGTGTGCAGAAGTGGTTACTCCCAAATTCTGTAGCCATCAATATTTACCTTATATGCGTTTACAGAAATATAGACAGAATGGCAGTGTGTACAGTCTGTAAATACATAAACAATTTTCCTAATGTTTGACCTACCCGAATTTGTTCTTGGGTATTTATATTGTTTACATAGGGAATTCTATTGACAGAAAGAAAACCTGAAGCCAGGTACAGAATGAAAACAGCTGTATAGCACAGACATCTTTATGATTTGAATCTATGTTTGCAAATTCATCCTTATACCTCACAGAGGAAATGGCCTACATAGTAAATGAAAATTTTAATTTCTTTAGAAGGAAAAACAGTGCAAATGAGACATTTTAAACGATGAATTTTAAGTGAAACAACTTTTAAATGAAATATTTCAATCTTTTGAAGTCCATGACAAATACAAATATTTACATACATACACAGAAAGAAAGAGCTATAACAATAAAAAACTCCAAGATGCATACATTATTACAAAATATAAGAACTATTTTTACCTGCCATGTATCAGGAATAAAATCTTGGACCCTGGGGTCTGGATCTTTTCTTTCTTCTCGTATCAAATGGTGTCCCATATATTGTAATTGGAACCGAGCTGGCCCAATTCCAAGGGAATATTTGTTCTTTTTTGTCTTTTTTAGGTCATCTACTGCATCCTGTATTGTTTTAAAAGATTATTTTGAAAGCAATTGAAGTTACAGAGGCATAAAAATAATTGAAACATTTATGAATGGATTTCTTCTATACGAAAACAAATTTAATCACCCTTTAAACATCATGAAGACATTGCCACTTTTCTGAAATACAAATAAATACATTTACATAAATTTATATAAAGCTATATAATATATAAATTTATATAAATACAAAAAATCATATTAAAATAAGCCAACACCACTATAGATTTGAGATGGTTTGTTAGAATTTAGTATTGGGTTAGTTTTAAAATTTACAGAAATCATCTGACAATTAATGTTATAGTCAAGTTGTGGAAAAAAATATAATTCTTGATTAATTCAACTTTTGGAATAACTAAGTTGATATTTCTTATTAAAAATAAACATAAAAGAGATGACTACATATGAAGGGTGCCTTATGTATAGTAAATAAAGGCTGAGTTAAAATGAAGCTAACACAATATGTTACCTGAGTTGGATACAAAGAATTTGCTAGCTCATCAAACCCTAAATATTTAAGACATCTGGCTATGAGTTTTCGGTCTCCTTCTTGCAGAAGTTCAGAGTGTTTGTCCAACAAGGAGTGAATTCTCTTCATCATATCAATGGCTATGTTCAAGTTCTTTGTGGTTTCACCTTGGTACAAAATATAAATAATAAAATTGTTATAAAAGCCATCAAAATAATAAATGTTTATTACCGAAGACCAATTGGCTAGCTATCAATCTTCACTATGCTTAATGAAACTCACTATCTGACTCACAATTAATGAATATTTGAGAATAAAAAGGACTAGATAAAAATCTTACAGTTCACCTTTAAAATATTATTAAAATTGAAGTCTGTAGAATTTTATGGTGAATTATAAAGCTTTTCTCTATCTCTTATTGCCATGTCTCCTCTGCTAAAAGCAAATAACCCATGATTTTAAAAACAAGATTATAATCCTAGCAACATTCATTTAGCCCGATTGTCCACAGAGAAATGCTGGATGTAAGCCATCCTGAATCTATTCAAGCAGTGCAATGCATCTCTTCCAGCTATCAGGCCCAGACTCTTGACAACATCTTCACTTCCCTAGCATCATACACACTGTTTATTTGCCCCCTCTGCTAACCTCTTCATTCTCACACCTGTTTTGGTTCCTCCTTTCTTTTAGTTGGTACACCTTCTCACCTATTAAACAGGTACTACCAATCCCATACTGAAAGCTGTTGTACAACAGGATGCCAAGTAAATGAAACAGAGACCTTTCTTGCGGAAGCATTCAGTTCACTTACACAGAATATGATACATGATTGGTCCACACTGGGCATTAGAAACAAAAGGTATTGTGTGAGTCTGATAGCTAAGGAAGATTTTATGGAAGGATATTTCATGAGGGAATATATATCCACCCTCCACGTGGATGTAGAGGGTAAGTAAAATCTGGTTGTATGAAAACTAAGGAAAAGGTCATCTGTGGCAGTTACAACTCTTATTTTCTCTATCCCCCATGCAGTTTTCAAGATTCCTTATTTATGTCTCTGTGGTATTGGGAATTCCACATACTTAGGTAAAAGTATGCATTTCCTGGTCCTCTTTGTGGCAAGTGGCCTGTGCCTAAGTTCTAAGGATATCTGAGGATAAGATTTTGGTGGCCAGGAAAGTACCTTTACATGAAAGAGACAGTGCTGGAGAGATGGCTCAGTGGTGAGAGTGGTCACTACTCTTACATAAGTGGACTCCCAGCAACAACGTCAGATGCCTCACAACCACCTGGAAATCCAGGTAATCTGATGCTTTCTTCTGCAGCTGTGGACACAGACACACACACACACACACACACACACACACACACACACATCTGAAAACACTTCACTGTGCAAATGGAGAGTAAGCCAGAGCCATGTAAATGTAAATGAGTTATAAAAGGTCACAACTGTGGTCATGGGCACAAGGACATTGAACTTCTGACCTTTCCTAGAAGTACTTGGTTTCTTAAGAGTCTGTCTCTGCTTCTACCACTAAAAATGGGTCCTGCCCAATTTCTTGTTGCTGGACAGAAGAAAAAGGAAATCCTAGTAATGACTCTGCAGACAGTCTACAGCACCTACAAGCAATCTCTAAATGAAATAAAGCACTCTATTCTTGAAGCCACTCTAAATTCTGATCTCTGTCAGTAGAGTCCAGCTGCAAATCCTGATTCAGTGTCGTGGTTGGGAAGAACAATTAATGTATGCTAAGGTAAATCATACATCTCTAGCCAGTTTACACATCTCTACCTATTCAGTTCTACTTCATCCTTACCATCCTCTTTCTACATTTTATCCTATTTCCCTCCAGAGACTGTAAAGGAGAGTATGTGGAATTACCTCACTGGCTTTGGAAGAAGTCTGTACACTGGGGTTGGGGGAAGGACCTGTGTTGAAGTCTGTATGGTTGGTGTTGACTGTAAATGTTACAGGATCTCTAATCACCTGGAGAACAGGCCTCTGAACATGCTTGTAAGGAATTATCTTTATTAGGCTAATAGATGCAAGAAAACCCATCTTAACTGTGATTGGAACTAAGTCCTCTGCCAGAGTTTTGGGCTACATAAAAGAGATACTGAGCTGAGCGTGCCTTCATAGGTCACTCCCTGCCTTCCTATATGCTGTGAACAGCTGTTTCAAACTCCTGCTACTTATATATGTCCTCCCCAACAAGGAACTGTACCTTTGAGCTGCTGGACAGCATAACTCCTTTCTCCATTAAGTTGCTTTTTTCAAAGTTTTTTTTTTATCACAACAACCAAGGGAAAACTAAGTTAATAGGTAAGCATAAATACAAATTATCCAGAAAGACAATGTTATATTTCAGAACTCAAAAGTGAATGATGGGTCCTTGCTTTGTCCCTTGCTGTTATTGGTTCTTCTAACAATGCTCTCTTCCTGGTCAGCAGTTATTTTAAACCTATCTTTAATTGTGTTTATGAATGTTCTATGGCTTTGCCATTGGCCACCTCTCTGGGATGTCATTGCTCATTGGTAAAAACATAGGGGAAATCCTTCATGAGTCTTATCATACAAATTTCTAGCAGATAACAAGCCACTATCATTACGTCACTTTGAACTCCCCAGTTCATCAAGGTAGGTAAGACAAGAGAATTACAAGCCACTCACCTTCAGCTCGGCAGTGCTCCCTCCATGCTGTCAAGCAAGCTGTTAACCCTACTTTTTCAGCTTGAACTTTTACTGAGTTACTTTTACATGATTTCAAAAACTCTTCCAGCTTCTGCATCCCAGAGTTCAAATTCCTTTTCATCTCCTTCTCAATAGAAGATGACAGGACATTCCATTTTTGCTCTTCTTTTTGTTCTTCCTTGGCAATTAACCTCTTCTTATTCTCTCTAGCAATTATGTCAGCCTTGGTCTCCTGCCCAAATCAAGAGAAACACAACTCGTGACACGATAGAACTAATCCAGATTGACATTTCATGAATGAAATGATATTTTAAGTATGAACTAATGATTATTGAGCATCATCCCATACTTGAGTAGTCATAAAAATGTCTTTAAATTAAGACTCTGTTGATTGAAAACATATTAATTCAACTCAGTGAATATAAAGATTTTCTGTAGATAATTTCATAAATTTTGTTGTAGAGTTAAACTGAAAAGGGTAAGAGTAATTAAAATAAAAGAGACCTTGTAAAGATTCATTCATGTCTCCATGCAGTGGCATCTGCTACTCTCTTTGGAGCTGCATTTCTGCTACCTTTCCTACCAAGTCACCTTTTCTACTCCCTAGGTGACCATGACACTTCTATCATGAAGCCCTCTTTGAATCCCATGCCTAATGATAATGTCTCCTTCCTCAGGCAAGCACCTATCCAGCTCTCATGCTGCACATACATGCACCATTCTTCCTCCCTAGATTGAGATCCTTGGATAAATTTGCATGGAAGTTGCCTGGATTCTCTAAGCCAAAAAACATTTAATTCAAAACGTTTAATGAGTAAATAAGAAAAAGGGTCTGAAAGCAAGGAGTGGATAGGAATCATCATATATACAAATGAATTGCCTTACCTAAGGAAGTGTTTCAAAATGATTTAAATATAATACAGACCCACTTTTACTGTGGTTTTACATGGTCAAATTAGAGAGCTAATGACATGTTCAGCAGGTAAAGGTGCTTACCTTGCAAGCCTAATGCCCGAGTTCAGTCCCCAGAAGCCATGTAAAGGTACAAGGAGAGGACTCCACAAAGCTTTCTTCTGACCTCCACATACATACTGTGACACCCCCATTGACCTCCACATACATACTGTGACACCCCCATTGACCTCCACATACATAATGTGACACCCCCATTGACCTCTACATACACACATGGCATTCTGCATTGACCTCAACACACATGCTATAATACCCCTATTGACCTCAACATACATGCTGTGACATCCCCCATTGACCTCCACAAACATGTTATGGTCCCCTGCATTGATCTTCACATACATACTATGACATCCTCTGCATTGACATCCACATACATGACAGTTCATACCCCTACACACACTTACCTCCCCATACACACCATGGCAACTGCCACATACACTCATCATACAAACACAGAGAAACAATAAATATTTTTAAAGGACAAATTAAAGAATTACATTAGCAAAAAAATTCTGACAAAAACTTCCCATTTTTTCAGGTTAGTCATGGGATTCATATCTAAAAATTAAGCTACGAAAAGGCACATACTACTTAATGTCAATCAATAACATTTGAGGTTTCCGATCATTTAAACTTTCAAGTAAGTGTCTCTTATTGGTCCACCTGCCATAGTTTTCTGCACAGGACAATGGGGAGCCTGAGACTTCTATCAAGCACACTGCTTCCTTTGTCTCAAATGTGAAGACTTATTACACTGTTGGTCATAGGGTACATTTAGAAAGTAGTAGTGGTGTTGAATTTAATGAGTAGTTTTAATTTTGAATATTTGGAATGATGAAGCTTATATTTCTTTTCAGCCTACTTGTGTTGTACGGTGAGAAATTTTACCAGGTTGTTATTTTGTAACAGAAACAGCCAGAGAGAGGACTAAGAGGAGGAGGGAAAGAAGAGGAGGAAGAAAGAGATTCCTCTTCTGCCCTTATTCTCCTCCTCCTCCTCCTCCTCTTCCTTTTTCCCTTCCTCCTCCTCTTGATGTTTCTAAATGAACAAGAAAAGTTTCACCAATTTGGATACAATATTGAAAAGTTCCTGACTGTCTAAGAAAGGGACAATGATGGCAAGCGGGAACTTATGAGGCTTTCTCTTGATGAGTCAAGCAAAGCTAAGCTAGTCACTATTCCTCAGTGAAACTATGAAGGAGGTCAAGGAGAGAAAACTCACACTAGCATGAACATCAGGTACTCTGCGAAGTTTTGTGCTACTTTAACCATTCTATGAGAGTGCTGTTTGTTAATTATTTAGATACCTGGCAAAGAAATAGCACTTAGTTTTTCTTTTTAATCTTGCTAAACATTTCCCAAACTTAAGTATCCAGGAATGAGAGTTTAAAAATCATGTGTTTTGTGTGGGTGGGATAGTTATAGACTTCACTTGCGATGATTTTGTTATGCTAACTCTATTTGACAAGGCCGACCTATCACAATTCCTGCCAGGTGCTTGTGCTAAGCTGTTGCTGGAAGTTTTCTTGTCATGTCTGGTCCCACAACTGCCTTGCCCCAAATAAGCACACAGACACCATACTACTTATAAAATTATTGGCCAATGGCTAGGGCTTCTTATTGGTTAGCTCTGTCTTAATTATTAACCCATTTCTATTAATCTAAGTATTTCCACATGGTCTTATCTTACCCAAGAAGGGTCCAGACCTCTTACTCCTTCAGTCAGTCTCTTTCTGGCAGGTTTTCTCTACCTACCTTTCCCAGAATTCTCCTCATCTCCTTGTCCTGCCTATCTCCCTGCCGCTATCGGGCACAGTATTTTATTCATCAACCAATAAGAGAAACATATATACAGAAGGACATCCCCCATCACTAAGCTTTTGCTCTCCACAATATATTAAATAATTGATATTCAGAGAGTTTGCAAGAAGTAAGAGCCTTCTTCAGATCCTTAGCTCTGGAGGCCATAAATGCTTGAATTGCCAAATGTCCAAAGCATGACCTTCACCTTTGCCAAATTAATAAGTCCAGTTTTAAGATATAATATATGTTTTCAAGGTAATATTATCAGAAATGCTAGCATGTAATTCTCACATAGTGATAGTAATATTTTACTCTAGAAATAAAATGAATAAAATTAAGGGGAAATAATCTGTACAGAAAAAAAGGAAAATGAACAGCTTTAACTTTGTACCTGAAAAAAAAGAGTGAATGTATTAATTTTTTAAATACTTTGAGAAAATGAGGATAATCTGTATAAATCAAGCAAAGAAACCCACATGTTTTATGTTTATTTTGTTGCCTTTAGGAAAAACATTCTGACTGTTATTAGCTAATAACATACATTTTACTATTATTGTAAAATTTTAAGCCAAGCCTTTAGTCACTTAGTGCTTTATTTGGATCTCTAAATAAGTATATGTTATTGCATAGAGAGGATCATAGGTAACATAGGTAACATAGGATCATAGGTAACATTTATATGCATGTTAGACTTTCTTATCAGGTATCATAACAAATGTAATTACTTTTTGTGTTTGTTACTTTTCTGTGCTATAATCAAACACCATGATCGAGACAATTATAGAAGAAAGAGTTTATCTAAGCTTATGATTCCAGATGGGTAAGAATCCATGATGGCAGTGCAGAAGCATGGCACCTGGAGCTCGAAGCTGAACGTTTGCATCTTAAACAGCATTAGGAAACAGAGAATATACACACAATGGCAACGTTTTAATCTCTCAAAGTCAGCCTCCAGTGACACACTTCCTCCAACAAGGCCTACCTCATAAGCCTCTCCACACAGTGCCACCAGCTGGGAGCCACACATCCAAATACCTAAGGCTGTGGGAGACATTTCACTGAAACCAGTACACCCATCTGAAAAAGGATGGCATCTCATGGTAAGAAGCCATCAATGGGACGAGAAAGTACCAATTTAACAAAGAATATCAGCAAGAGATTTTAAAAAAATTTAAATTAAAAACAATCTTATTTTACATACCAATGACAGTTCCCTCTCCCTCCTGTCCTTTCAAGCTCCCCACCAAACCCCAATCCCACCCCCTCACCATCCACTCCCCAGGGAAGGTGAGACCTTCCATTGGAGATAATCAAAGCCTCTCACATAATTTGGGGCAGGGCCTAGACCTTCCCCCATGTATCTAGGCTGAGAGAGTATCCCTCCATAGGGAGTGGGCTCCCAAAGTCCTTGAACTAGGGATAAATACTGGTTCCACTGCAGCAAGAGCTTTGGATGATAATAGAATTTATAGAAACTTACATGTGCCTTTGTGCTCCTAGACTTACTGCAATCCTTCTTGGGTTTAACACTTTGAGTTGTGATGATCTTGGAAGAGACTGATTCCAATGAGTTCCCATAAAATCGTTGAAAAACTTGGTACTTCTGCAAACTTCTAAGTTGACGGGGGTCTCTTGAATGCTCTGAAAAAGAAAAGATCTTAAAATGTAAAATGATTTCTCAACAGCATCTCTAACTCTCCACATCATTCCATATACAGGCACTATTCTTTCTAGTAGAGAATAACAATTTTGTCTGATCAGTCTGGCAAAAGAAGGTATCTTAAATTGAGCTATCTCATCCATAGGATAACTTTTAGCATATCTACAAAAGTGGCAAATTTTCAAACATGTGTATACACACACACACACACACACACACACCCTATAGGGTTAAACCTAGGATTTCATTCAAGTCAAGGGTTCTTCCACTGGGCAACAATTCTCAGCATCAACATCTCATACCCTTTTAAAACAAGTTTTCACAGCCTGCTTCCAAAAGCAGATACAAAAAATGCTATTTAATTTTATTGATTAAATGTGTTCTTTGACAATAGGTGTAATGCACTCACCCCCATTCTCTTTTATATCATTTTAACCTGTCATCTCCCCCACTTCCTTACAGATTTCTTAAACTACAAACCATCTTTCCTTAATGTCAAGCTCATGAGACAAAGATCACATCGGTACTACTCTGCCTAAGACACCTACAAACTATAGATGAATAATCATCAGGAAACAAAGGGAAAATTCTCTGTTAACATTCTTCCTGTTGTCTATCTCAATGTTGTGTTGAATATTCTTCCTCAGAATTTTTGATTTGTGTTCATAATGTGTCTTTATGTTGGAAAAAATAAAAACAGCCGAGTGAAGTAGATTTCAATTTTTTGAGCAGAATCAGCAAGCTCACCATCAAAACTGGCCTTGGTCCTGTCATAATCATCACTGAGAGGTCTGTGGGAATGCCAGTGCACAAGCTCATCAAATTCCTTATGCTTAACCAGTGAGGTAACAATGGGATCATCACTGTGAGACAAAAAAGAAATACAAGCATATTTCAAATTTCATGTCTCCAAATCCAGCACATTTTACTACTTTGAAAACTATAGTCCTCCTCTTCGTGGGATACAACATGTATGGTAGAACGAAAAGAGCATTTTATTAGAAACTTCAAAAGCAGGGACCACTTCATGGCTCCAACACTCTCAAACCTTCCTTGTTTCATTAATTTAAAAATAGTGGTAGAGTGCTTTGTTCTCCAATTAAAATTATACAGATGTCATAAAGAAGGCTAATGGGCACTATGTTGCAAATACATATTGCATATATTTACTATCATAAATGTGTTATATTTCTGGAGATTACTCAGGAAAGGATTTCTCAAAGAATATTTAATAAATAACTACTACCCATTCCAAACAAGTAGTTATGGAGTAAAATATATGGAGGATTTACCTCTTTAGGAAAGGCAAGTCTTTCAAAATGTCTCCAGTAAATTCATCAACCAAACTACATGACATAGGAATAAAACCCAAATTTGGCATCTTCTCCTGGGAAATTTCTGTACACAAAATAAAAAGAATTATGATCAAGTGAATTTTTCAGAAAGGAAGACAATATATTGCTTTCAAAAATTTCACATTTAAAACCACTTTATACTAACTTCATTTATATTTCATTCTAGTACTGCTCATAAAGTTATTCCCCACATTAAGTCTTTTGGAATATAGTAGAAAATAAATAAATACATAATAACTAAGTAAATAGGTATATAAATAAATATATAAATAAATAAGTAGGTGGCTTGTTAGCTAGCTAGATAGCAATCTGAGAGATCACATACATTGTGTCAAAATGAAATTAAAAATAGCAAAAAATAAAGATGATGAGATTGATATTGTTACAATATTCCCTTTGAGCTTCTTTTTGCTTTATATACCAGCTTATGCAAAACAGGTAGATAGATGACAAAATTGATAGATACACAGATGATAGATAGACAGTAAGTAGGTAGACAGAGTATAAATAGATGATTAATAGATGATAGATAGATAGATGGATAGACAGATGGATGATAAATAGACCAGATACATCTTATAGCTGTAATAATTTAATTTAATGTGTTGTTCATAATTCTCCCAATGCTCTCTATTCCTGTGTTTGTCCAGGACACATTCTGTAACAATTAGTTTAAGTATTTTTTTCCCCATAGCCACAGTCATCAAGTTAGAAGCATTGAGAATAACCCTCAGCCAAAGTCATAACAGGAACTGGAGAATAAATAACCCATCTCTCTTATTCCTCACAAGAGATGTTTCCAAGATACTGTGAACCCCATCACAAGGTTCCCAGTTTACCTCTTTTCTCCCAAATTAGAAACCTGTTCAGAGACAGGTTCTGGATAGTGCTTTTCATTTCTTCACTAATCAAATTTGAACCACCCTCTGACTGGCACAGTAAACTCTTTACACCAGGGACCTTTTGTCTGGTGGAATTTACTGTCGTAGAAGACAAGAATACACACACAAACACACACACACATGTATGTATATACGTATGTATGTATGTATGTATGTATATATGTATGTATGTATGTATATATGTATGTATCCTAAGTTCTCAGTAACCATTCCTTTGAATACTTCCTCTAAATGATTTTTCCTGAAATTCATTATAATATTAAAGATGCTATTATGACTAAACCAATTTTATATTTCTGTAAATATGCATACTACCTTCTACCCTCACACAGTTTAATAATTATTTATAATTGTTCTACATCATGAACTTCATTTTATCATTATTGAAAAATCTGCCATTTGACTAACTCTTCCTTTAGAGTTAATTCTGAATCTGATGAGAGGGTTTGTATTTTTCACATGTTACAATTTCACTTTGTGTGTCTAAAAAATGTGTCTAGTTTAATATGCTCCTCAGGTGGGAGGCCTGAACCTCAGCCTGGAAGCAGTGGCAGAGAGAGGCCTGAGCCTCACGCCTAGAGCAGCTTCGGTGGGAATCTCGAAGCCCAACCTGAAAGCAGTGTCAGAAGGAGACCCTGAGCAGCATGAGAGGGAGGCTGAGCCTCAGGCCCAGAAGAAAGGAGTGACCACTGGGAGATACAACAGCAGCCGTTTCCAGGAGTAGCTTTCAGAAACTATCACAAGAAGTTCCTCTAGGAAAGAGTACTTGTGTCACACTCAGCATCCACTGCCGTTTCTTGCTTGGAGATACCCCACTGCTACATCAACCACTGAACCATCAGTCCCACTTATATCTAGAGGAGCAATCACCAGAGCTGTGGCACCTCCTTCAATGGGAGGAGCACCCACAAGGACTATAGCCCCACCTTCAGCTCAAGGAGTGACCATCTGAGCCTTAGGCTCACTTCCGTGAAGAGAAGCATTCAGCAGAGTCTCTGCTCTGCTTGTGACTGAAGGAGTGGTCAATGGAGCCACACACCCCCACCTATACTAATTGGAGAGAGACTCCATGAAGCACAAGCTCCACCTATACCTTTAGAGGAAGAGATGTATAGACAACAAGGTAAGAACACACCCAATAATGTAAAGAGCAATAAGGCACCGACTAGTGGTGCTACACCAAAACCTGAACATCCCAACACAGATAATGTAGGAGAAAATTAACTAAAAAATAACTTTATGAGGATGATTGAGGTCCCTAAAGAGGAATTGAAAAATTCTCTTAAAGAAATGGAGGAAAATACAAACAAAAAGTTGGAAGATATCGACAAATCCCTTAAAGGAAACCAAGAAAATGAAATCAAACAAGTGAATGAAATGATTCAAGACTTGAAATCTCAAATAGAGACAATAAAGGAAACACAAACCAAGGTAATTTTGGAAATGGAAAATCTGGGTAAATGATTTGGAACCACAAATGCAAGCATAATCAACAGAATACAAGAGATAGAAGAGGTAATTTCAGGCATTGAAGACAAGATAGAGGACATAGAATCATCAGTCAAAGAAAATTTCAAATCCTCAACACAAAACATGCAGGAAATCTGGGACACCTTGAAAAGACCAAACCCAAGAATAATAGGGATAGAAGAAGAAGTTCAACTCAAATGCACAGAAAACATATTCAAGAAAATCATAGAAGAAAACTTTACCAACCTAAAGAAGGACATGCATATGAAAATGCAGGATGCTTACAGAACACCAAATAGACTGGACCAAAAAAAGTCCCATCACCACATAATAATCAAAATAATAAACATACAAAAGAAAGAAAGAATATTAAGAGCTGAAAAGGAGAAAATCCAGGTAACATATAAAGGCAGACCTATCAGAATCATACCTGACTTCTCAATGGAAACAATGAAAGCCAAAAGGTTCTGGTTAGACTCTACATAGACATTAAGGGACTGTGGATGCCAGTCCAGACTACTTTACCCATCAAAGCTTTCAATAACCATAGATGGAGAAAACAAGATATCTCATGATAAAACCAAATTTATTCAACATCTATTCACAAACCCAGCCCTACTGCATACAAGAAACACACCTCAACCTCACATACAGACATTGTGTCAGAGCAAATGATTGGGGTAAAAATTCCAATCAAATAGACCTAAGAAACAAGCTGGTGTAGCTATCCCAATGTATAACAAAAAAGACTTCAAACTAAAGTCAAAAAAGTTAAAAAAAAGGTCATTTCATACCCATCACAGGAAAAATTCATTAGTAGAAAATCTCAATTCTGAACATCTGTGCTCAAAACACAAGGGCTCATGAATTTGTAAAAGAAACATTACTAAAGCTTAAATCACAAATCAAGGCTCATACACTAACAGTGGGATACTTCAACACCCTACTCTTACCACTGGACAGGTATGCCAGACAGAAGCTTAACAGAGAAATAAGGAAACTAACATGTTATGACTCAAATGGACTTAACAGACATCTATAGAATATTCCACCCAAATGCAAAAGAATAAAACTTCTTCTCAGCACCACATGGAACCTTCTCTAAAATAGACCACATTCTTGTTAACAAAACAAACCTTAACAGATATAAAAAATTGGAATAATCCCCTGTATCCTATCAGATCACCAGAGCTTTAAGTTGGAATTCAACAGCAACAATAATTTGAGAAATCCCACAAATATGTGAAAATTGAACAATGATCAATGGAACCACCACTGGATCAAGGAAGAAATAAATAAAGAAATTAAAAACTTCCTAAAATTCAATGAAAATGGCCACACAGCATACCCAAAATTATGGGGCACAATGAAAGCAGTGCTAAGAGGAAAGTTCATAGCACTAAATGCCTACATAAAGAAGCTGGAAAAATCCAACACTAGTGAATTAACAGAACAGCTGAAAGTGCTAAAACAAAATAAAGCAATCTCACCCAGAAGGAGTAGACAGCAAGAAATAGTCAATATTTCTTGCTCAAATCAATAAAATAGAAATAAAAAATACAAAGAATCAATGAGACCAAGTTGATTCTTTGAGAAAGTCAAAAAAATAAACAACCCTTTATCCAAACTAACCAAAAGACACAGAGAGAATATCCAAATTAACAAAAACAAAAACATAACAACAGTCAGAAAATCTACTCCCCAAAAGTGAGAAAACTTTAAGAAGATGGACAATTTTCTAGATAAGTACCACATAACAAAATTAAATCAAGAACAGATAAACAACTTGAATACACCTATAACCCCTAAGGAAATAGAAACAGTTATCATTAGTCTCCCAACCAAAATAAAATAAAAGCCCAGGTCCAGATGGTTTCAGCACAGAATTCTATCAGATGTTCAAAGAAGAACTAATACCACTCCTGAAATTATTCCACACAGTAGAAACATAAGGGACATTGCCAAACTCTTTTTATGAAGCTACAGTTACCCTGATACCCAAACCATATAAACACACAAATAAGAAGAATTACAGACCAATTTCCCTCATGAACATAGATGCAAAAATACTGAATAAAATGCTGGCAAACCATATCCAAGAATGCTGTGGCTGGGAAAATTTATGAGGCCACTACCAGTGTATACAACATCTAACTCTAATGCACAAACTGACTTCATTCCATATGGAGAGATACCTTGCCCAGCCTAGACACAGGGGTGTGGGAGTGGAGAGGTGCCTTGGTCCTGCCTCAACTAGATGATGGGACAGACTTAGTAGACTTCCTATGGGAGGTCTTACCCTCTCCATGGAGCAGATGCTGGCTTTCATTCTCTATGTCTTTTAATGTCTTGTGTTTTGAATTTTAATTTTCTATCTATTTAAGGTATATACCATGCTTTAGGATACTTTTCTTGAGACATTTATCTGTGTGTGTGTGTGTTTGTAGATAGATAGATAGATGGTAGAGATAGATAGATAGATAGATAGATAGATAGATAGATAGATAGATAGATAGATAGATAGATAGATAGGCATGCAGGCATAGGTGGTCCTGGTGGTGCATTCCTGTAATATCAGCACTTGGATGGTGGAGGCAGGAGGATCAGAAATTCAAGATCATACCCAGCTACCTAGTGAGGTCAAGACTAGTCCAGACTACATAGCACCTTATCTCAAGAAACACACACCAGGAAAACAAAAATGTACACAGAGTAAACTAGTGATACAGTCAGGAAAATTAACAAGCCTACTATATTAAATATTATCTGTATTTTCTTGTAGGTTTTTTTGTGTTTTTTTTTGTATTAAGATTACCTAAAATCTTAATCTTTTCCCAAATCACTACTGTATATAGTGGAATATATAATATGATTAGTATTAGCCCTAATAGAGTACATTACCCTATTGATAAATGGGGGAATAAATGGGGAATTATTAAGTAATCAAATCTAGACCTAGTATTCTCCATAAGTGTAAATTTGTACCCCTTGATCTACATTTCCCCATCCCCTAATACAACTCCCTCAATAACTACCTATTTATTTTGCTCTACTTGAATATATATTTTTAGACTGTGCATGTAAATGGTATCACATAATATTTTTCTTTCCATAACTAGCTTATATTATTTCTCATAACAGTATTTTTAACCTGTTTTGTTTTCTTGTGCTGGTCACTGGGCCCATAGCGCCACACATGCTAGGACACATCACCAGTGAGGATTGTTTCCAACCTTAAGTGTGACACTTTTTCTAGATATTTATGGTGCCCAAACTCCCCCCTTATTAATATCCAATCAACTTTTAAACCCACTCAGTATTTTGATTTCTACAAGTTTGGTTATGGAAATGAATATTGTTTTAGAGTTTTTATTATTTTTCTCACTTCTAATTTTACATTTAATCTCTCTTAAATGTTTTTAATTTATACTCAGGAAGTATATAATACTTGTTATCATTTCTAAGTCCACGGTTAATTGTGTTCTTAGTTATTTCTCAGTTCTTTCGTAAATTCCGGCAGCATCCATCTTTGACACATAATCCTATAAAACAAATGTTTAATTATTTGTTCCTCATAATAATTTGCCAGGTCTCTCCAGTTACTTTCATTTACTGCATTAGAGTGGTCTGTGACCTCACAGTTTAAATTCCAAACTCTCAATAGTAATTTGTTATGCTCCACACCCAGTGGGACTCTTTGTTATTTCTGTTCCTTGAAAGGAAGGTCTAGGATGCTACCTTTTGCAGTTTGGTCCCATGAACCTGGGCTTTCTGAAAACTGTTCTACCACCTTCTGGCTCTGGTGTCATCTCCTGTGCCTGTCACCAAAGACACACTGTACATCCGTAGCACATAGAAGGCAAATGCAGTGATTTGGGAAAGGGCTTTCTAAGGGAGATGCTGGCTCCTTATTATTCTTTGGTATCTCATATTTCTCCCAGAACATGGCTGTTTGTTTTGTTACTATACAATACAGACGCTGAACACAGTACCACACCAGTCTCTACTCTGGCTTTGATGAGTAGAGTTAATTTGTAGGCTTCCCCAATTCAAGTATTTGGGGAGGAGACATCATGACATAATAGAATATTGATATTTTAGTTGACAAAAGTCACACTGGTAGAAACAGAATTCACTGACATTTGGTTTTGATTTTTTTTAAGTGGTAACGTTAATTACAAACAAATGAATTTTCAATATTAGTCAAAGCTCACTACCACATGGACATAACAATTATTTAAACACAAGTGCTAGAAAATGATTTTTACTTGAAGTTCTCAAGAGATATTTTCCCCCTCAATTTAAGTTAGGAATATGTTACCTTTGATTGGTGATGGGGTCTTTTTAAGAAAGTGACATTTTGTTGTTCGCACTGGAAAAGGTTTTCCCACATCAAACTTTCTGACCAACTTTGACACAGTGTCCCAGAGATGTACATACTCTTTCATGATGACATCTCCTACATTCAAATCTAGGCCTGGGTTATAATTAAAAATACACTGTATTAAAAGCACTGACACCAGCATAAAAGCACACAACTTCAGTAAAGTCACCAAGCTCTGAACTATGAGGCAAACAGTGGAATTGTCAGTGAGCTTCCCAATGAATCTAAATGAAAACAATCATCACTCTGTACAGCACCATGACCCATCTTAAATCTGATCTTGCTTTTCTGTTTGACAATTTAATATTAAAAATTAATGTCTTAACTAATTATAACAGTGGAAATTCAATTATTTCATTATAATAAGATGCTTTACCACAGATAGCATTGAAACCAATAACATTGAATAAAAATTAGCAAAGAATCATTATTTCATATAAGTAGCTAATTTATTCCAATGCCTACAATATTCAGGGACCAAATCTGGATTTCAAAGACATTCCAATGCTACTCTCTCAAGTCCTGTTCTCTCAAAATATGTTTTCTTTTTCTTTGATTATAAAAACACAAAAAAACTTATTCTAACAAAAAAAAACCAAATTCCACAAAGAAAGTATAGAGATGATCTCTTGGAAAAACTTAAAATCCTTCATCACTAATAATAAGTTGATGTGTCTTATTTAGTAAGTTGATACCTTGTGCATTTTCATTTTCATAGTAAAATGCAATATTCTTCAGCAAAGGCTCATCACTTAAATCAGAAAGGTGAAGTGAATTCAGACTCCACAATTCAAATGTGTGCAGGTTGCTTAGGATAAAATACTCGCACCACTTTTTCTGAAAAGAAAAAAAAGTTATTGACAGCTTTCACATCCACAGTAATATGTAGAATGACTCCATAAACATCGGCAGATATTTGGACAACTCAAAGGGCCTGCATGGCATGGCTACATCATGGGTTGCACGGCTGCACAAGTACTCTGTATGCATGCACAAGCTTTCCCTTTTAAACAAGGGCCTCCTGTTCAGTCTCCCCTTCACTCTCCTGTTTGCTGACACCAACCCCTCCCCTCAATACCCCTCCCTAATAAAACTTCACATGGTTTTTGTTGAGTTCTGTCGTCTCTTTCTCACTGCTGCCAAAGCTTGAGCAAACAACAACAGTATATGGTTTAGAGTTAAAGTGAGAGCCTCCCGTGGGAGATCTCTTCACCCACTCTCCCTTAGCATTAAAACTTAATGCTTCCCAAGCATTCCCAAAGTTGGAGAATGAAGCTACTGTTCTTGAGCAGATAAAGTTTTCAAGTACTCCTGCCAGTCCATCTTAGAATGTTGTCAAATACTTAGATTTTTTAAATAATGTCTTTTAACATAAAGTACTTCCTTGTGTGTTAAAAAATGTCAAAAATTCTTCAGTAACAAGTGGTACATAGAAGGCAGTCATTCAAGTCTGTATCACACCTAAGTCATTCACACCAGCTCCCATTTGTGTTCCAGACTTGAACTACATAAAGGTGACAAAATAATTTAATACAACTTAGAAATAAATTTATAACAAAAGCCAAAAGACATTACTGGTGGCACATGTTTATTTTAATTGCAGACATGAGTAGGTTTAATATTTTAACCTGAAATGACACATATTAAAGTTTTTAAATAAAAATGGGATCCAGAAGTCTTCTTGCCTTTTATTAATGACTCAGAGTATTCTACCCCTGAAGGACTAACAAAGCAACTAGAGGAATGCCCACATATGGGGTTTAGAATACAGAATTTTCTCTCAAGAATTAGTAGAACCTACATAGAGTCATCTTCACTATGTCTCATATTTTCTACAGCACAGAACTCTTTAAAAATTCCCTTGCAACAGCTATGTTCACCAATGCAGACATTGAATGTACCCTGACATTGAATGGACATGGGTGTGCTGTGGATGTGTGCAGGTACATGGAGGCCAAGGATTGACCTCAGGAGTCATTCTCCTGGTATATTCAACACATATATGGTTAAATAGTCCCCTAATCTCCCCCCAAAATCCAGGTTTTTATCTACAGTGAGTGGTCTACCTTGCAATCAAAAACAACTTTTAAAATACAGAAGTGCCAATAGCCTAGTTAAAACTATTTAGTAGGAACCCAATGAACTTTTAAAGAATTTATCTACCCTGATCTGTAGGATGCTGCATGACTTTTCTCTCACACACTATATCAGCTCCATCACTAACCCCATAGTCTTTCTGTCCTTGATAAACTGGATGGACCCCAGTTCCTTGGCCATGCTATATTTAGGGCAATCACACATAATGTTTCTTCTCCCAGAATCTGGTTTCCATTCTCTCCTTCCTGCTAAATCTTAACAATCCTTCAAGACATGGATCATATAACTTCTTAGAGAAACTCTGGCAAACTTGGCTAGATCTTTTCATTATCAGATTCTAAAGTACTCTAACTATTCCTTCACAGTAGTTGTTAAAATTCACTATGTGTCTTCTCTATAAAATGTAACCATCTAAAAGAGTTCAGGTGAGGCAATGAAGAATATTTATCTCACTCTGTTTCCAGGTTGGAAGAGCACATTCCTAATTCCATTGGGCATAGGACCTTTTTTTGACTATTTAATCTCAGAATCCTAATAGAAAGTATACATGGCATATATATATATATATATATATATATATATATATATATATAAACTAGTAGTCATTAAAGATGACATCATGCAATGTTATATATATGGATACTTTCCATGCAAGAAACAACAGAAAAATCTGCTCACTTAGAATGAGGAGAATAAACTGAACAGATTCCAGCACTGATTTGCTTGGAAGGCTCTAGAGAAATGTTTGCTTTCCATTTTCCTAAGGTCTCCAGAATCTCTCTATCTATAATCTGTAATGGTAAAAAGTTATAAAGTCTTGTATTCATTTCCCCAGGTTTTTCTCACTGCAGAATGTGGTGGTTACTGGGAACTTCCATTAATGACATATAATCCTGATGCTGACAAGAATTTTAAGAAGGAAAATTTTGAGAGGCTCCTCTTTGGGTTGGATACATGCCATGAGGTTTTTGTCATTACTACCTAATATCGTTGTTAAGACTAGTCAGGTAACTGATGTAAGCAAGCCGACCTTTGAAAACCCCAACATTTAACACTACCCTTATAAATGTGTTTTGTGGTTTTTAATGTATCAAGTAGTTAAAACAAAAGTATAAGAAAATAGAGAGTTAAATTTACCATTTTAAAGACAGTCTTGAGGTCCTGAATCCAACCAGAAGTGATGAATCTTGATTGTGCTCTCTGGGACAGGGGTAAATGGAGTTGAAAAACCACACTGAGGCAATGCAGCTTACAGAAGTCTTCCACGTCCTTCAGGGTTAAACAATTGCCTTTCTCCTGAAGAAAATAAAGCAGAGGGCAGAAGGCTGGGAGACTACACACCCAATTTGTTGAAGCACAAACTCTGTAGCCAAGCTCTCTATGTGGGAATCCCACATTTTCACATTTTTCATTTCTGAGAGAATATGTACCCGGAAACTAGGCTGCGCTTAAACATGTTTGAGGCAAAGGGAGAAGGAAGCTTCTAGCTTTGCAGAAGTTGGTATATAGCCTGATTACGTATTTTCAGGGACTCCAGGTATAAGGTAATAAACTAGGTTATGAAGGGGAGGTTTCACGGGACCTTGGGTGGGTAGGGTTACATGCTAAACACTCTCTACTGTCTAATCAATCTACCATGAAGGCAATATGGACTGCCACCATGAGGACAACACAGTAGCAATGTAGCTAAAAGGTTTAACTGCACAATGACAACACAGATAAAGAAATAGATTTAGCATCATGGGACAAGGACATCAATGCTATTTTCACATATTTTGGCTTATTGGAGAGCAAGAAGACTTCACTGGAACACTCCTAGGATGCCAGAGAGGGTCTAAATGATTACAAGTTCCAGGTAGAAAAGTTTAACTTACTATCATGATATAGAGATGGTTTAAAATTGCATGTCTAATCATGTAGAATGATTTCATTAAAAATTATATTTAAGGAGACACTGCAAAGCAAAATATTAAAAATTTGTCCTTATCCATTTCTGAAATGGGTAAAGCTAATAGGATTGACTAGCTGAGATTCCGTAGTACTCAGTTTACATATAAAATGGTATGTGAACATGTGTATAGCTTTGTGTCCATGAGTATGTATATGCAGAGGTGAATGTTTAGTCACAGCTAAATCTCAACTAGCCACCAGATTCTTGTCATTTTCTGCAATAAAGAAACCTAAGAACCAGTAGGGTACCAAACACCACAGTGTGAGAGTATCTTTCAAAGTCACTGAGAAATTTGCAAGAGATAAACCTGAATTCAATCTACATTACTACTTAGCGTCATTAGTTGGAGGACTGTTGCTCTCCAAAGCTGAAAGTCTGTGCTTGGATATGTGTAATAGAAATAACAATGCCTGTCTTGCAAGGCTGTCTTGAGTATTCCATGTACAAGAAAAGCCCAAAGCACAATAGCATAGTAGGTTATTTCTCCTTTTGCCTGCCTTTTGGGTGACAGGAGCTAAATATTCCTATGTGAAACACCTGTCGGAAACACAATAAATCATGGAGCACAATAAATCTTTATATCATGAGTTGTAGGGAGTTTTCCTACTTTTGACGTTCATAGAAACAAGAGAAAATATCAGTGCCACATGGGGGAAATAGTAGGTGAAAATTAATAAAACAGGAAAGCCAGAGTGCATCCCTGTGTAACAACCACACCTGTTTGACTTCACATGTCTGCTTGGATGCTTTCTCCTCTCCGTTTTCTAAAAAACAGTGGTACATTTCCAAAGAGAGGGAGCATGAAGTGACACAAAGGACTCGTCGGATGTCAGATCCTTCTGGCCAGAGTTGCGTGAGCCGAGATATAGTCTCACAAGCCTGTCATAGCAAAAAATTGTAACATGTCATGATAATTAGAAAATATATTTACTCCTAATGATTATATCACAAGGGATGGGTGGATATGACCATATGGAAACTGTAGCTATTTCCACTAAAAAAATTATGAACACAATTTTGAGTGGCAAAATTATTTCAAAAAATGTTGAGAAAACTGTTAACAAATATATGCACAAAAACCCCTGTAAATCAACATAGAAATTCATGACTCTGTAAATATTAATTCTCTAATGAAACTCAAATAATGAGAAAATAGAAAAAATGCTTATTCCCCTTAGTGATATAAATATTTGCACTTTTTTTACTTTCATGATATCAAAGTAACTCTGATAATGAAGTTATAAACAGGCAAAGGCATATGACAATACATTTAACTGCCATTCAATAAATTGATACTTTTCATTCAAGTTCTAGAGATCTAACCTGAAGGAATAATCCAAAATCTGGCCAAAGATGTGTGCACCAAGGTGTTTATCACAGATTTATTTGTAAAAGCAAATCCCCAGCACTCAGGAGGCAGAAGCAGGTGGATCTCTGTGAGTTCAAGGCCAGCCTGGCCTACAGAGCGAGTTTCAGGACAGCCTCTGAAACAATAAAGAGAAACCCTGTCTCAAAAAACCCAAAACAAAAAAAAGACAAAAAAAGCAATCAAGAAATAGCATATGTCCATAAAAATATTACTCTTAAGAATTTTAATGAAATTATAAAATATGTATGTAAAAATTTAGAAAAGTAACAAAAGGGTGTATATCTACCATATCCTCAATACTGTAAAATACATGGTGTCACTTAAAGGATGAATTGAAAACATGTGGGTCCTGCCTCTAAGTGCTGACATTATAAACAAGCTATACATAACAATAAGGAATCTAAATACCATACTTCCATTGATGAAATTTAGAGATACAGTACCCTGTATTCCCATGTGAACCAAGGCACCAGATTACTCACAAGAATTTTTATGTTCTTTAGACTTTAATTTTTATTATTTTATTGTTATGAATGTTTTTGCCTGCATGTGTGTGTGTGTGTGTGTGTGTGTGTGAGAGAGAGAGAGAGAGAGAGAGAGAGAGAGAGAAAGAGAGAGATTAAGATTTCTTAGTCACTGAGCCAACTCTCCAGCCCCCTATCTTGTATTCTCTTAAATTATATGCACACATAATTTGTGGGTCATCTAGAAACAACACATATCATAGCAATCATTTTTCTGAAAGAATTGGGTGCTTTTGTAGGTGTTTTGCACAAAATCTCCTCTTCTTCAATTAAAAAAGAAAATAGTAGTATCATGAAATATGTCAGGGGGAACTAACATACTCCATCTGGAGAATATGTCAAGTTTTCCATTATACTTGTGATACCTTAAGACTTCGTAGGGACCAAAGAGAGATTTTACAACTTTATGAGAAATACAAAGATTGATATTATTAAAGAGTGAATTAGAACAATCATAAGAAATATTGAATCTGCAGATATGCAAATGCCATTTTTAAAAGTAATCTTTTAATCTGAATTTTAATTTTTCTTTATTTCTTTTAGATTTATTCATTTTACTTTAAGGTGTGTATTGCCTGCACATACAGTTGTAGCTCACATGTGCTTGGTGCCCACAGATGTCAGAAAATGGCATGGGATTCCCTACAACTGGAGTTATGGTTGGTTGTGGACCACAATGTGATGCTGGGATTCAAGTTCAGACTCTCTGTGAGAGCAGCTACTGCTCTTTACCACAATCCCATCATTCCTGTCCAAAACTTTCAATTCCTATTAAGTCATTCATGTGAAAAAAGAAATGCAAACTGAAGTCATATACTTTTAAAATTATAATAAAAGGATTAAATATGATAATCTGTGGACTACATTGAAAATAGTTGTCTCTATATCAAAATTTATGTCATGCAATGAAAGCAATTCTCAAAGGAAAACATCACACTAAACATTTAACATCAAATTGAGAGAGTAGACTAAATGCTCATATCAAAAAAAGAAAAAAAGAAACAAGAAAAATCAAAAGAACGTAAAAGATGAAATCATAGCCTAAGAGAATAAAGTTCTGTATATCTAGTTAATAATTCCAAACTTAAACTGAAATTAGACAAACATCATTAACTTAATAAGAGCAATCACAAATGTATTAAAAATAAAGGAGAGTGTGACACTGGGAGAGAAAATCACTTCAAAGGTTTTTAAAAGTCTAATTAAGAAACTTTTGAGAAAACAAATTTGAAAAAGCCAAATTACTAATTTCCCAGAATTAATTATAGAATTGATTCTCTTAGTATTAATAGGCTTAAGTACAGCAATATCCATGATGTTGGTAAAATGACTAAGAAACCATCCTGACAATAGACACCAAGCTTCAACCAGAGAATTCTACCAAGTTTTCAAAGACTGGCTAATCCCACTGATCTAGACAGTATTTCAGAACATTAAAAAGAAAATCTGAAGAACCTTTTCTATGAAGCACAAAAAAGCTTACAAATAAATGTAAGGCAAGACAAAAACTGAAAATTACAATTAAGTAACACAGATACCAACCAATGCAGAAATTCAACAGGAAATATAGCTAACAGAACCCAAGAACTTATTAATAAAGCATTACATCATGATGAAGTATATATGTATACCAGAAAATGTGTCAATGCAATATGACAACAATAAAACTGAGGGAAAAACAATAGTACTGAGGTATATTTCCACTACTGTGTTCATGATATAAACAATCAGAGAACTTCAGCTTCATCTTCTTTGCATCCGAGTATCTTAGTCCTACTTGACAGGGGCAAATAGAGACATTTCTACTCAGACCAGGAAAAGGGGAAAGACATCCAGTATCTCTATTACTCACCACTGCTACAAGAGTCCAGTTACTATATCCATTAGACCAGAGAAATCCTAGAAGCTTGAGGGTCTCAAACAAGGTAAAACTCTAGGAGTGATACACAAGATTACACACACACACACACACACACACACACACACACACACACTTCAACTAAAAAGTTTTTTTTTCAATTTCTAGTACCTTTTCCATCACATTGTTGAATTTTAAATCTCCAAACAGAGTTGTTAGATGCTCATCTCTGTGTTTTTCCAAATGTTGAATCAGGCCTTTGTAAGCAATCATAATCTCATTCATATTCTAAAAACAAAGTGTGATAATTTGTTACAAATAAAATTATTATTTCCCAACTAGAAAGATCAAAACTTTAAGAAACAATCATATTATAGTGCAGTCCTCAGTTTAAAATCTAGACTAATGTAATGGAGGTTGGTCAGCAATGTTTGGAAACCCTTCCAGGCAATACTTGTTTATCTCATCTGGCAATGGAGCACCTTATTTTAGCAGTTTCACAAAGTTACATGTAATACAAATTCAATGTGTTTCACTATGACACATTTCATATAAGCACCCTAAAGAGGAGACTAGAATCTCTTCCCGATGGGTATCTACTAGAAATAGGCATTGCCACCAGTTTCAATGGCATTTTCACTAGTCTACAAATGGAGTCATAAGATATATTTCATTGTATTTGAAATTCTAAGTAGTCATCAAATCATCAGTTAATGTAAAAAATAAAAAAAGCTTCTTTAAGGTAAATTTTAGTGAATTAAGACATAAATCATTTTATAAATAAAATTCTCCATTAAAGTTTACTCTAGGCAGAATGTTTTCAAGATTTCTCAGAAATCAGATTCAGAAACTGCTATCAACAGAGTGCAACAAACTTGGGCTGGATATAGTGGCACATGCCTTAATTCCACCACCCAGGGGTACAGAGGAAAGTGTAGCTTTGTGTGTCCCAGGCCAGCCTGAGCTACACAGTGAGACCCGGTCTATGAAGAGAAAAAAGAAACACAACATAAACTCAATATGTACTATTTGCCCTGGGTATAAAACTAAAGCCCATGCCTGTTTCTGCTCACAGTTGGCAGTCAGAGTTAGGAATACTTTAATGATAAGAATCCTAATAAAAGCACAATAAACTACCCTGTCATGTTAAAACAACTACTTACGTGTATGCAAATGTGCAATGATGGGCATGATGCAATTCTCAAAGAGGGACGTATTAACTGCTTCTAAACCTATTTTGATAAGCTATGGAATAATATTCATACATGGAATTCACCTCAACTAGTGAAAATAAGCAAACTATTTATAAGTTTGGCACACATGCTTTACACTGAAATTTCAACAAAGTAGTTCTCAAATATACATGGAATTTGAATTCTGATTGTTTCAAGAGCCAGTCAATTATTGGCTGAGGTTATTAATGAAGATATAAATCTACCACATTCTTTTCTTCCTTTAATCTGCTCTGGTGAGTTCTCATGAAGGCAACCCCTAGTCTGTCATTTCACTAGTGGATCTCAGCAACAGAGACATACCTTTGCCTCCGAGTTCATGTCTTTCTGGCCTTCATTAACTTGGATTGCTCATGCCACAAAGTGTTTGAGAACATAGGGGACAGGGTAGCACTGCTTCTCATAAATTCTACATCCTCTTATACTACTCATTTAGTAGTGTTTTTGAACAGGCTACATAGCCAAACATCTATTTCACCATCTCCAAATATAGACAATTCATATGCCTGCCTCATGGGACTTTTGTGAATGTTAAATATAAATAATTTGTAAGTGCTAAGAACTCTTTTACAATTAAAAAGTACTTAGAAAATTACTATATTTTATCACTATTAATTCATTATCATTATTAATATATATCATCCTATATATCATCCTTTTAAATCTATGATAGTTTCTATAATGCAGGTAGAGTCACTACTGAATCAAGATAGTGATTATTTTAAAGATTTATTCCATTTTTAGTTTTATGTATATGTATGTGTCTGTCTACATGTATGTATGTATGCATGTATGTTTGTACGTATGTATATATATGCATGTAAGTGCAATATACACAGAGTCCAAAGACGTCAAATCCTTATGGATCTGGAATTATAGGCAGTAATGAACCACCCAACATGGGTACAAGCTTAGTAAGCACTCTTAACCACTGAGCCTTATCTCCTGAATTAATTTAGGAATGTTTATAAAATTCTAGAACATTGTCCTATAGATGTACATTACCTGTTACTATAAATCTCTCCACCACTTCCCCCATAAATTACCTCTTTATAAAATTTCTGCTCTGAATATGAGCTATGCATAAAATATGCATAAAGACGGAGGATGTCAGATGTCTGCCCTGAGAAGAGAACGATGTTGATCTTCTCTGCCCATGACTGAATGACTACAAAGTTGAAAAGGTGTGTCTGCTGGTTGTTCAGGCCTTCATCGGCAAGAATCAAGAAATAGGGGCAACTCTGATTCAAGAAAATGCTCCAATCTTTTGACAAGCATCCAGAAAACTTAGTCTGAACATCAATGGTGGTATTCTTCTGAAGATGCAGAATTAAAGCAGTTCTCAGTGTAAGAAGTGCAGGGACATTAAAGTATGCATATTCAGCATCCTATAGAGCAGGAGATAAAGCACATTGTTTGGAAAGTATCATTTAGCATTTTATTAGTTCAGGCAATTAACACATATCATTAAGGTCATTGAAGGAATAAGATACAGCAGGGTTTGTTTGGCTTTTTTTCTTCTTTCCTATAGTCAGTAAATTGGCCCTGGAAGTTTACTGTATTACAAATATGTGCTATAAATCACACTTTGGACCTAAGAGTAAGCAAGCCTAAAGCACTCAGAGTTCATCACACTTTGGACTTAAAAGTAAGCAAACCCATGGTACCCAGAGTCCACTACACTTTGCCTTCCTGTTTTCTAATCATTCTCCTGTCCAACCTCGCCTGAAGAAAACAAAGAACAGAAAAACCTATGAAAATACTAATTTCCAATTAGAAAATTTTCTGGAATTGGGAGCTGAAAAAGGAACAGGCTAGTCTAGAGACTAATTCCAGACTGCAGTGATATTTCTTAAACAGCATGAGTTTTTCTCACTAGACCAAAATCTTTGTAACTAAAGTAAACATAGGGCAGAACCCTGGCTCCTTGAACAAAATTCTGCTGGCCAGCAATGCTCAGAAATATATTGTAGCATGAGCTGCAAACTGATTGAACAAATCCTCTCCATAGTACCTGAGTACAGTATTAGCTGCCTTGAGATTAGGAACCGGAAGATATGGTAGCAGGTGCATATACCTGTATTTGAAATTGCTAAAGTTTTATTAACTACACCATGTATGATATTCTTTCATTGGTATTTATAACAGAGAACAGAACAGCAAAATAGCATTAGTGAGTTCATGTGGGCTCAGACATACCTACCAAAGGACTCAAATAAGTTGCCTGCTGAGTTTTGAAGGCAGAGTAGTTCTCAGAGTTGGAGGACTAGAATTGAGGTCAGTGGGGCCTCTGTTGAGAATTTCACAACTCTTGGGACTCTGCCCAATAAAGTTCCCCATGGTTACACATTACAAAATAATCTAATTGTGTTTACTCCTGAACACTGAAATGCTAGGTAATTTTTTTCTCTTCTTCCCTTCTCTTTTATTTGTTTTGTGCTTTTTTGTTTTGCTTTGTTTTGTTTATTTTTTGAACTGTAGATTGAACACCCAGCCTTGTATGCATTAGGCTAGACTTCTACCACTAAGTTGCATTTCTAGATTTTTTCTTCTTTTAAGAAGGTCTTTCCAGACTTAGTTGCAGAGAGGGAAGAATGAAGATCGAAGGGGTCGGTACCAGGGTGGTGACACCCACACAAACAGCTGGCCTGAACAAGGGGGAGCACATAGACCCCAGACTGCTGTCTGGGAGGCCAGCACAGGACTGATCCAGACCCCTGAGCATGGATGTCAATGAGGAGGCCTCTGCATTCTAGGGGGCCCCTGGTAGTGGATTAGTATTTTTCCCTGGTGTAAGAAGGGACTTTGAGAGCCCATTGATATGTGAAACAAGCTTGTTCCTAATTTGAAATAATAAAAAAAAAGTCTTTCCAGGTAGGCAAGACTACTCATCAGCTCATTGTATGAGGCTCAGGTGGGCTCCAAATTTCCATCCTTAGCCTCCAACTCATTTTATGAACTTTTAAAAATACATTTTGCTTTTCCATCAATGGTGAAAATGTTTATAAAATTTTATAAAAACAATTTAGTTATAGCACGGATTGGTAGTGTGTTATGATAAATCTTTCCGCCCAAAGCTGCCTGAGCCCCACCGTCACATGTGCATTTTAGGCAGAAAAAGATGGGTGACTGTCCAGGTAGCAAGATGTCTCTGTCAATTCTAGAGTTTATATATTTTCCTTCTGTGGTCTTTGAGAGAGTTAAAGACAGATAGTTATGGTTATAGTTTTCTTCAGTTATTATAAAAGATAAGTTATCCTTCTTTTATTTAGACAGAAAAGAGGAGATGATGGGGAATGTACTGTGTATGTTTATCTTATTGATTGTTGAATAAAATACTGTTTGGCCAATGAGACAGCAAGTTAGACAGGACTGGAAGTCAGGGAGGATTCTGGGAAATGTAGTAGAAAATTGATGATCCAGACAGGAAGTGACATAGCAAGGAGACTCATATTCAAGCAAAGGAGAAACAGGAAGGGCCCTCTTTTCCGCTCCACTCCTGCTCCAGCGGCACGATGTGATCCACAGCAAAGAGGGACGCCAATAAGGCATCCGATAAGATAAATCTTATAACATATATAGATTTATGATAGTTAAGACTGAGCTAGCAGATGAGAATCCTAGTCATTGGCCAAGCAGCTTTGTACCTAATACAAGTTTCTGTGTATTCATTTGGGCCTAACTCAGACAGCAGGCTGGCATAAAGCGTACACGTGGCAGTGGGGCGCGGCAGCTTTTGGCGGAAAGATTTATCGTAACAGTAGTGCATACTTGAAATCCTTTCACTTGGGAGGCATTGGCAAGAGGATTGTGTAGTCCAAGGCTAGCTTCAGCTACAAGAGACTTTGTCTCTAATTATTGAAATGAATCTGGTTTCAGTCTTCAGAGAATGAAAAGCTCAGCTGGTCTGTGTTACCTTGAAGAAAACTATGGCGAATTGCCCTCCTTTGCTAATAATATCCAACAGGTATCGCTCAACCAAGTAGAAGAAATGGAGACTCTGTCCAGGCTTAAGTGACTTCTCAAATAAACATGTGACAAACAAGGAATCTCCATCAATCAGGAAAAACTCAGATTCAACAAAATCATTGAATAAGCTGGAATAACTAAAAAAAAAAAAAGAAAAAAAGAAGTATTAAAACTCATATAGATGACATAAAACAGTAGTGTTTTTATTATTTCATTGTCATTAATAACCTAAATGCTGAACACATAGTTGCATATAATTATATATACTTATATCATGTATGTATTGTACACAAGCACATACACACACACACACACACACACACACACACACACACAGAGACAGATGCAGGTACAGATCAACATTATCAACAAGGTCAAATAGCCCTACAGGAAAAGGGGAATATTACACATGATTTCAAAACTCTTAATTACCACAAAAGTACTTACTCAGCCTTTGGCATTTTTTCCAGGATTAATTGTGACATTAATTCCTCTAAAACTACTGTGGGATGTTTTTCTAAAACAGAGAAGAAGATGGATTTTTTGCTCAGTCTTTTTAAGGGAGCTCAAGATTATTATTTGAGAAATAAGAAACAGTAATGCAGTTATTTTAACTGTTTAATCTGTGAAGCATATATTTTATAATGCTATAAATGTTATTTTGAATTGAAAATTACCCATTCTCGATGCCATCTGTGCTTCCAACCTGAATTGGGAAATACTAAAAATGTAAGTCCTTCACTCTGTTTCTTCTAAATGGTCATTATTAATGAGATGGTAAATCTGAAAAGAAAAAGAAACACTGATCAACTTTCCTATCAGCAAAAATGTCCTGAATGACTATCTTCCCAACAAAACATGGTTGCAGCAATACAAGAATGAGCACAATCACAGTTCTTGTCAGCAAACAGAGGAAAGCTGTTGCTGAGCAAAAAAATGATGGCAGCTTGATGAAATGACAGTTCAATGAGCATTCAATGTAATAAGTCTGCAAAGGTATAAGTTTATTTGATGGATGTTAAAAGGTGAGTATAACATCTTTTGACAACAAATCCAATATGCGTAGAGAAGAGCAGAGAAGTGGGCTGTCAAGGGAGTCTTTGAAGATTCTAATTCAGTCGAGAGATGTCTACATATGTAAGAGTGCTTGCTATGAAAGCAGGAGGAACTGAGTTCAAATCTCCAGCACCCATGTAAAAACTCAGAATGGCTGCTGCATATTTCTGTAACTAGCATTAGGGAATGGATACAGGCAACCCAGGCAGCCACCAGGAGCCCACTGATGAGTGAGTCTAGACAAAATAGCAAGCTCCTGGTTTAGTGGTAGACCCTACCTCAAGGCAATAAAAAAAGAAGAGCAACAGCAGAAAACACTAAATAGCCTCCCTGGTCCTCCAAAAGAATGTGCAGCAGCACTCATGCAAAAAGCATGCATCACAGATACAACACACACACACACACACACACACACACACACACACACACACACACACACACACAAACACTTACTCAACTAGTCTGAAGAAAAACAGCAAGACCGTAGTTCTCAATAAAGTTTTTTGGTTTGGTTTTTTGTTTGTTTGTTAGTTTGTTTTGTTCAGGATGTAGCTCATTGATAGCGCACTTACCATCTGTGATATCTTGGGTTCAATCCTCAATACCATAAGCAAAAAATACCAAACAATAAAATGAGCCTGCTGTAATGTCCAGCTGTTCATCCAGACTGAGCAGGAAAGTTGCATATGTAATTTAGTCTCATTAAGAGAGGTGGTGATGTGAGAAGAAAGATCTGAGGAGATCACCCTAAAAGAAATCGGCCTTCCATCCCATCTCTAGCCAGAAGGCCTCACAGGAAGGGCTAGGGCAGATGATCAATCTAAAGCTCAGCTGTCACTCTGACTAGGAAGTCAACCACACTTCTGAGACTTGTGACGTGTGTGCCTCTCCATTTCCCTTGAACTATTCTCTGGACGTCAGAATTCAGTATCAATCCTGCACTCTTCCAAACACTACCTGAACAAAGGAGTCACCTCAGGACAAGCAAGACATAGCAGTGCATACGTAGTAAGCTGGTAATAACATGTGTACATGGATTGCTTTCTGGAATATGGAATTAAAAGGTACCTCCAAGAAGAAGAAAGTGTCTGTATCCATCCACACATGCCCCTATCGTTCTCCACTGTGAGCAATGACACCTGTATCCATCCACACATGCCGTATCATTCTCCATTGTGGACAATGACACCTGTGTCCATCCACACATGCCCTATTACTCTCCACTCTGAGCAATGACACCTGTATCCATCCATATGTACCCTATCACTCTCCACTGTGAGCAATGACACCTGTATCCATCCACATGTGCCCTATCATTCTCCACTGTGGACAATGACAACTGTATCCATACACATGTGCCCTATCATTTGCCACTGTGAGCAATGATACCTGTATTCATTCACAAATGCCCTATCATTCTCCACTGTGAGCAATAACAATTGTATCCACCCACACATGCCCTATGGTTCTCCACTATGAGAAATGATGCCTGTATCCAATTACAACCAAAGATAATATCAATAGGAAAGCTTCTCTGATAAACAGGAATGCTTCCCTGGGGTCTTTAAGAACTAGAGGCAAGGAGATAAAAGATTGACTGAAATTGAAAAGACTCTCTCTTTCTTTGCACCAGAAGAAATATTATGAACTATCTTGACTGTGGCTATATGTAAAGCCAAATCCTGTGAAAACTTTTTTCTCCTCTCCTACCAAGGCCAAGGTTGTTAAAATTCCTATTCTGACAATCCCTGTGTCCCTGTCCTTGTCTCTGGACAATTTTTCCTGATGACATTGCTGATTAGCCATCTGGTAGTTTCACCCTTGCTGTCCCTGATATAGCAGTGACATCTGTCCTGGTTTGTTGACCTAATACCACTTTGGGGCCTAGGAAAGATGATGATGGATATTAAGAAGTCAGTACCCCTTTTCTTTTTTCAAATTTCAATAGCTAAAATGTGCAGATGGCTCTTCCACTATCTACCTGGCTATTCCAAGTTTAATTCTGTCTGTCCTATGGGTGATGATCTAGGATCTTCCAAGTGTAGCCCAGGTTCTTCTGATAGGGGCAGACATATATAGAAAGTCAACAGACTGTGATTACAAAGATTGAAAAGGAGAATACAAAATAAACCAATAATTCAAGTATTTTGCAAAAACTAGTCTGGAAAAGAAATACTCTTAGAGTTATATTTGTTTGTTTGTTTAAATATAGTTTTATCTATTTATTTGTTTATATGTAGTTGTTATTTATTGATTTGTTTATTTGTGGTAATGACCAAAACTGCAACTGGCAAAATACTTATACCAGCCTCTAGGGTTTTACAGGAAGCTTAGTAACTGGCAAAGCAATATAGTTATCTTTGGCTGGAATCACACCAAAATAGTTGTTTTAAAAGTGGCATTTAAGAGACTTTTTAGATTTTTATTGAGTTTTATTTCCTTGAGTATGTGCATATATGTTTCCATATAAATATGGAGGTCAAAGGACAATGTCTGGAGTCAGCTATCACCTCACGCTAAGTAGGTCCTGAAACAGAGCTCAGGTTCTCACACTTGGGAGCTAGTGTCCTTATCTGCTGAGTTTTTTCATTGGCCTCATTTAAAATATTTTAAAATAGATACTTAAACTTTTTTAAAGTCACTTTAGTAAAATGCCTGGCAACAAAAGCATAAATAATCATCTTGATTAACCATAAAGCCTGATTTTTTTAAACCACTTGTTAGCAGAAAAGATCAATAACTTAAGCTAATTTTTAAAAGAGGACTGGTTTTGAATTTTATAAGAATTAACTAAAATTTGAACTTAATTTCATATTAGTACTTTATTGATTTCACTTCCCCCTCCCTCTCCTTCCTCCTATTCCTCCTCTGTCCCTTCTGCTCCCTCTCAAATTCATGGCCACTTATTCTTTAATTATAATTGTTACATACCTGTATGTAATTTTATAAATACAATCTGCTAATAAATAACCTTCAATAATCACTGTATATATCCTGTGATTCACCCCCCACAAAGCCTTTGCAACTTATTTAGTTCTCCTGTGAAGTCAAGAGAACCTCCTGATACTTCCCTCATCTTTCTTCCATCTTGGAATAATCTAGTCTTTACCTCAGGACAAAATCATATTTTACTCTGTGACAGAATCCTTCTTTTTTTTAAGAAATACTCTTTTAATTTTGACCTATTTTTAAATGAAAAATACACCCTTCTCACATTCCATCCTCTCTCTCCTACTTACTGACACCCTTTTATTTTACTTTCTCTTGAGAAAGAACAACATAACAAGCAAATTTATAAAATGTATTAAGGTAAAAGTGAATCCAAATTTCACTTACAACGTAATGCAACAAATAAAAACTATCTCTCTATAGTCAGTAACACTCCAAGGCTGTTGTTCTTCCTATGAAAAGCTTCTGGGGATTTAAGACTCTTACACATTTCATTACTCTGGGCCTCACATGAATCTGAGTTATAAAATGCTGCACTCCAGCAAGAGCAGGCAAAGATAACAAAGTTACTGATGACCTTGTACAGGCAAGAAGGGAGAAGGGAGAAGGGAGAGAGATACACAGAGAACAAAAACTACTTTTATGTTAGCCCTGTAATTGCAGCTTGAGATACAGGTTTGTATCTCAAGCTGCAATTCCTCTGAAAACCTGGAGGAAACAGCGAACTATTTTCTGGCCCAAGAAAAAAGGGTTTCCAGTAGTACAAGATGGGCAGGAAGCTTGTTGTTGTGTCTAGTGATAGCAGACTAGACTTGAAGCATTAATATATTGATTAAAAATAATATATATACAGCTATGCTGGCCAGGAAAACAGCGAATAAATCATATCTACATTCTCACTCCTCTGCTCCAAATCCCCCAGTCTCATCCCCAGCTTTGTAGTAGCTCTTCACGACATACCCTGCTTTCATTCATCCTGTGGACCCCATTATCCCATTCCTCACCCTATTTTCACCCCTAAGTGTCAGCTCCCAGTACCAAGAAACACATTCTAACTTGAACCCACAGTGGCCACACCAGGCAGGATCTCAGAAGCATTTCTTACCAGGCAACACACAGCCACCACCCAAACAGGGTAACAGAATACAAAGACAAGAACAGATATCAGCACCTAGAATTAAAATCACCCCAAACTTGCCTGGAAGCCAGTGTAAAAGCACAATCAATAACAACCAGGACAATATGTCTCCACTAGTAGGTCCTAAGAAATGCAATACAGCAGAAGCCCAAGTCAAGGACTTAAATATAGGCCTTATGAATATGTTAGAGGTCCTTAAAGAGGAAATGAATAGCTTGCTTAAAGAAACTTATGAAAACACAAACAGGCAGTGAAAGGAAATGGAGAAAACAGATCAAGACATACAAGTGGAGGTAAAAATCAATAAGGAAAACCCAAAAGTGAAAAAAAATCTGGAACTGAAAAATTCATGAACTCAGAGGCAAGCCTCACCAACAGAATACAAGAGATGGAAAAGAGAATCTGTCATTTAACACAAGACAGAATAAATGGACACTCAGTCAAAGAAAATGTTAAATCTAGAAGAATCCAGGAGTCTAGAACAATACGAGATGTCAAAATCTATGAATAGGAATAGAGGAAGGAGAGGAAATATGACATTGGATGTCCTTCTGTATGCTGAAATATGTGTTGTTGCTTTTACTGGTTGGTGAATAAAGCTGTTTCAGCCAATGGCTAAACAGAGTAGAGCCACACAGGA